AAATTTGATTTAATTTGTATCGAATGGTATGCATGGCCTAGATCTGGTCAGACTGCTTCCAATCTAACCCCAACCCTAATTGGTTGGTAGTCGGAGGAAGGTTCTGAATGTGTGACAGGGGCTTAACTTATAGGGATATAATGTGCCCTCAACCCGCACCCCCTCTCCATGCAATTGATGTGCAACACTAAATACATGTGCGGTAATGTCATGGGGGTGAACGGCATCGGAACTGAGGTCTGTTGACCTATCAGAGAGACTCAATCATCAAAAGCGATACAAACACGGCGTGCGTCACCCTGTTGCCCACCACAGACATTAGGAAGTGTTTTGCTGCTTTTCTCGCAGAACGTTTTCTGCTCTGATTATTCTAGACAATGCGGAGGAAATCTAATAATCCATTCATGTTAGGAGTCTAAAGTTTCCCCTCCGGATCAGGTAATCTTGTTTCGTCAAAACGTTTTCAAGACGCTTTTGGGAAAAGCGAGTCATCTAGGTTGATTACGTGGTTGCAGAGGGACTGGGGTCGGCAGCAACGAGGCCAGTGATCTGCCTGCCCGTGGCACGTGGGACTTTGCCTAAAAGGCGCCCAAAGTGATTTCAGAGCAGTAAAGCTGAATTTTAATAGTCAACATTCGCGTCATTTTTAACGTGGCTAAAAACAACCCTATCCCATAGGCTTTAGCATACTGATATCTTGGAGGCAAAAGTGACGACAGTTGCTTGTTTTTTAGTAGTCTGAAAAAGATGAATTTTAATACTAGTATTCGGGTCTGAATTTTGATAGTCATCATTCGTGTCATTTTTTAACGTAGCTAAAACAACCCTATCCCATAGGCTTTAGCATACTGATATCTGTCTGTGAGACAAAGGTAACGGAAGACAGTTGCTTGTTTCGTATCTTAGGCAGGTTCTAATTACTAGTATTTATATAAATTGGTGATACTAAAAATCCCAATTTCTCCAAACTTACAGACAATGAAAAAACTATTCTTCTGTTAACGTCCCAAAACCCACAAATTTTAGAAAAGGTGGGACATTACGTCGATCTTCCATGGTTTACAAAAGAGAAGTCAAACTCTTCAGACATAGCTATAGTTTTAGTCAACTACTTTTCATCATGTAGATACTATTGTATAATAATATAATCTGTTTCAATACTCACTGGGCGAAAAGGCCTCGGATGCAGCCGGATCCCAAGGATCCGAATTTGCATGACCTTGCGGATGCTGCGCGAATCCCCAAGAATCCCAAGGATTGCTGATCCCACACCAAGAATCCCCAGGATTGCGGATCCCACACACATCCGTAACGCATACGTATGCATCCGTAACTCGCAGCGGATGCAGATGCGGCATTTGTAGGGATACTTACTTCGCAGCGGATGCAGACACGGTATCTGTATGAATACTTAATCGTTACGTATACGTTAGAAATAATACGTCGTTAGGATAGGAAATGTCACATTTTTAGGGGTCGTGACCTATCATATTTTTGGACCTCGAATACTACCGTTTATAACATAGATATAAAGTCAGACAATCCACTATACACTGGATACAAGGACACTCGTATTATTGGGAGTTTTTTTTTACATCCTTGGTCCACTCCACAGCAGAAGCGAATTGTGGGTAATCTGGGGATTTCTTGAATATCCGAATTTGCTTTTTTACGCATCCGCGGGCCCACTCCACAGCAGAAGCGAATTGTGGGTAATCTGGGGATTTCTTGAATATCCGAATTTGCTTTTTTACGCATCCGCGGGCCCACTCCACAGCAGAAGCGAATTGTGGGTAATCTGGGGATTTCTTAAATATCCGAATTTGTTTCGTACGCATCCGCAAATTGTTGAAATTACAGTCGCCACAAGAGGGCGCACCCCGTGAATAGCCATATACGTACATTGTAACGTTGCCTTTGCGCATCGCATAAGCGAATGTCTGCTCGGATTCGTGACTGTACTGATTTTTGCTGATTGGAAACTTTGCGTATCAGACAAGAAGTTGGTTCACATACAACCTTCGCCGGTGTCAAAACCGAGCATCTCTCAAAGATCCACTTCTGTATTTTCGACGGATCCGCAGAGCAGTTCCGGCAGCAGCAGTGCCTTGTGGGTAATCTGAGAAAACCCCGGGGGAGATTCAAACTCAACGGTCACTTTCAGTGACCGCTTGCTTGAGTGTGCGTCCCTTTCTATCGTCCCGCTGGCTGTCCATATATATCCGCTGCACATAAGTCAGCAAACAGTGCCAACCACGGCATTGATTGTCAAAGTCTAGGATACTGACCGTACACCGACTGGACGCTATGATATCAGTGGTCGAGACAAGGACGAGAGACGTACCGGGGACATCGCCCGGCGAGGGCACGAAGCCGCCAGGCATGTCATGACACGTTGCAGACTCGCCTGACCATAAACCGACTGCATAAGACTGTTGACGGCATATAGAAGTGAGTAAACCCTTCGAAACTCTTTTAATTAGTATGATCATTATGGTTTCAGATCATTTCTGACGAAAGTTTAGAGCAACTCAACTTCGCAACTCACATCTGTGGCCTTTATCTGACCTGTTGTTCCCATATGTAAAAGCGCCGGCCTTCTCACGGGGGGTATTTCACATGTCAATGCTGGCTCGCATAACAATGCCTACTGCTGGCATCCGGACCGCTGGGGAGACTGTTATCCTAACGGTTTTTAGCACATTCTGGCCGAAATGTCATTTTTACACTGTGTAGTGTACTTGTTTTCTGTTGTTGTGTTTTTTCGTAGGTCAGAAGCGACTGATTGAACGTGGGTAAGACTGTCTTCAGTGCAGACGTCTACAAAGACCATCCTGATGTGGGACTAGGAGACAGATGATGGCTGTATGTTAACAACACATGGACTGTGAGACGATCATCCTGGCGAAGCAAGACGTGATAGTTCTAGTTCTACCTGTTTAGTATTGCAAATATTTATTTTACATATGGTACATGTATTCGTATAGTTAGTTCTCTCTTTTTTGTCGCTTTACACAGTATGTGCGGAGTTTTAATAAAGGCTTTCAGGCTAAATCTATTCATTCGTTTATTCCTTCATTTATCTAATTTGACTTGCTTGTTGGATCTGCACGGGGCGTATCCAGGGGAGAATGGCGTAAGGATTCGGGAAGATCCGAGGTACAGATAAAAAAATCCAAACGCCGGCTCTGTTTGCATCCGAGGCAAATGCAGAGAAATGTGTATGGAAATCCGATAGGGATACGGGAAAATCACAAGTTGTATCTGTACGCATCCGTGTAAAATACCGACGATTGCACGTGGGGATCTATCGCATATCCGGAAAAATCCCTATTAAAGAAATTCGCATCCGTAGAAAATCCCGATTTTTGCATTCTTTGGGATCCGGACAGTCCAGGTTACTTCAGGTGTACAAAAAATCACTAAAGAAACAAATTAGAATCCGCGGAAAATCCCGCTTTGGAATCCTTTGGGATCCGGACAGTCCAGGTATACAAAAAAATCCCTAAAGAAACAAATTGGTATCCGTGGAAAATCCCATTTTGGGATATTTAGGGATCCAAACATTCCGGATCCCTAAAAATGCAAATTTAGGATATTTTACGGATCCTACCCGTATCCGTTTGCATCCGCTTGTATCTGCTAAAAATGCGTAAATATCCCTGTGCGCATATGGCTGCATTCGAGGCCTTTTCGCCCAGTGACTGTTGCATGTTTATGATTTGCAATTAGCTATAGCCTTCGGGCTCGAATTTGCAATAAAACTTCTAATAAAACTAAAAATAAAGGGACTCCTCGCGTGGCTTGTTTTGGGGCTATTACAAACGCGTCAAGTATGAAATGATGATGAAAATGTGCTAAGAAATGACAGTAAATGTTAATATCAGACAGATTTCCTCATCCAGAATATTTGTATGGACACGAGACTAATGCATGCAACCAACGCACCAACCAACCAACGAACCAACCTCTGCTGCCGGTCGGATGCCCCAAAAACTATCAACAGCTAATCATTGCCTAAATATTGCCTTCTGTAACTGAAGTTCGATAGGGCAATGATTAGGGTTAAGTACTTGGCGTGTAGGTGGGAATTGCGATTATTTGGGGAGAGCGGCCAAAAGAACGAAACATGTGATACGTAAGGTCACAGCTTTCCTCAACGACATCTGCTTCGAGATTAGGTTCAGGCCTAATGCTGAGCAAGGTCGCATTTCCAAACCGGGGCCCGGCCGGGCAGTCTTATGGAACGAAAAGTATGATATAAAAGACAACAAAGCACAAAAAAAGTTTAAAAAATTAATAATGGGAACTATTTGCGTACATTATTGATATAAAGTGTTGATTTTTTTTTGTCAGTCGAAACTGCCCGGTCGGGTCCCGGTTTGGAAATGTGACCTCGCAGCATTACGCGATGTATCGCAAACAAAAATTCTAAAAGGGACAAAGAAAAATTATGCGTCTGTATGAATACATCATGAAGAACAGTACTCGCTGTTACAAACATATTTACGAGATATGTTATTGGATATGATAGCCATAAATCATCGAGACATTTACTTGTAAGCAATTCATCAATGGAGTACTAAGGGGCCTATGGATATATAGTAAACTGATTAAGAAATCTGGAAATCTGGTCCAATCTAATTATAGTACAGAAATAGATATAGACTCTAAATCGGCACACTGATTTGACCGTACATGTTTATGTCATATCTGTTTCCAATTACCAGAGGTTCATTTATGAAATTATAATAAGCACGAGAAAGGTATACGTAACATTTGCAAAGCAGAATGCATAATGTTTACCTTCGCATATGGTCTGCTCTGTTATTTCTTACTCAAACACAGTCATATATATATACATATGATCAGAGAGAGTCTAAATCCCTCCTGCTATAAAATTGCAACATGATGTAACCCAACACTAGTTATACCATAGTGAGAGACGTCTGGTTTAGGTCACTGACCTTATTGTGTTGTTGTTGTTTTTTTTCGTGTAGTATGCAGGGCGGAGTTCTGTTACAGTTATACCAGAGTTGTGGATGGAAACAGAGTCAGAGTTCCCGGGTTTTCCTGTCCAAAGAACACAGAACGACCGGAGGACAACCAGAACTCGTACCAGAACGTCTTCTGCTGCGGCCCGTCCGACAACAAGTACTGCTGCAACGATTGTAGAGAATCCCAAAACGGACGGGCATGTCTGCGTTTATACTCAAGTACTGTAAGGTAAGGGCTTGTCCTTTCTTAGTATGTCTTAGTATGTCCTAATATGCGTGTGGGGATGGGTGGGAGAGTGACAAAATTGATTTTGCCTAAATCTCCAGCCTTTACCAGGCTTCAGGCTTCAGAAGGCGGCTGGAAAGAGTAGAAAAAAAATATCGGCCAAATAACAATAAATAGATGGATATCATGCCAAGAGAGTTGGTCTGCTGGAGAGAAGAGTTTGCCGCTATCTCCCTATTTGGCCGATTTCTACTCCTTCCAGCCGCCTCCCGAAGCCTGGTAGAGGCTACTAAATCTCCAAGCAGATCTTTTAGTGACTGCAAAGATAGTATCAAATTGGCCAGGCGGTGTGCATTTTGCCAGACCCTTGGATCCTGAGGGATACTGCTTGGAGATAAATTTTGCCTTTGTCTCTACAGTATAGACGCCTCTAGACCCCTTGTCTTCTAATTTTATATCCCAATTTATTTTAAGCTTTCTATAATCCAACCATACCAATATCTGGTAAAAAATATGTCACCGTTCTCAAATCCAAACTGTTCATGCACGACAGAGAGTACAGAAGAATGGATACATGCAAACGACTGCCATCCGTGTTTCAATACAGCCTCACGTATCCACACAAACACAAATGGTTACTGCTGGCTAATTGGTACTCAGGCCCGGGTATGTTGCAGACTAATGCTGGAGTCCTTGATCACAGATTGGCACCACTTGTCGGGATGATGACGTCATGACCGGCAATTACTGATGTCCTTCAACGATGAACACTGATTGGCTTAAAATTTCGGTGACTTGTGTACAAAGAAGGCGTCGCCTCAGATTATGACAATCGTTCAAAAAATCAAATAGCCTGGATTTTCTCTGGCTTTGAAAATCCACTTTTGCCGCCCTAAAATAAATTGCACTGGATGTCTATAATGTCTTTATGCGGAGAGTAGCACAGTCCTATCCTCTACCAGGCTTCGGGAAGCGGCTGGAAGAGTAGAAATCAACCAAATAGAGACATAGCATGCCGAGGGAGTTGGTCTGCTGGAGAGCGGCAAACTGTCCTCTCCAGCAGACCAAATCACACGGCATGCTATCTCTCTATTTGGCCGATTTCTACTCTTCCCCGAAGCCTGGTAGGGGCTAGCGCAGTCCCACAATCTTATCTGTCATAGATCTCCACAGGATGTCTACACAGCCGAGTCTTAGACCATACCTAGATCACTTCGCCAGGTCCGAATCTAACCACAACAGCAGTTCTATATTAAGGACACGCTGGAAGGATTGTGTTACACGAGGATTTACAGGGAGGCAAAAACTCAAGAACCCAAACCGCTCAAAGATCCTTCAAGGTCGCGAAAACATTCCATTGCATTCTGCTTGAAAGATGGCAAAAATGCTGGGTAATACTGTCTTGTATGGCGATGTTGTTACAGGTGTAAGGAAAAACATTAACTTGTGAGACATTGATGAGAAATAGATTACTTAGTTGATTGTCAGTGCTGTCGCCCCCCTCCCCACCCCGAGTATCCACTCCCAGCAAACTTTAGACTTTTACCTACTGAATCTTGCTATCAGCGCATATATCTTTACCTGTGCAATAAATGTAGTCACATAAAGGTACCAAGATACCCATGATAACCTCAACCACAGTATGGGTCAACATTACTAACATTATCACGCATGTTTTATAAAAACATCCCCCTGAGTGTGTTTCGCTGACAGGTGAATAATCATTGAACAGACAAGATGGAGAGGGTCAGGGGGTACCTAGCCTTATCTTAGAGTCACAGTCTGCTGGTTTTTAAACAAATTAAGTCTTTCAGTTCCAAGCATTATTTTTCATGGACTTGGTCTAGTGAACTATTGCACAACGTAGCAACTTTGTCATGTTTGCGTATATAATCATGTAAGCTGTACAAAGATCAGGGAAAACTGGCTATGTATGCTGACACGAAAAAGAACCAAATATCAACATCACTTAGCAATAAAGTCTCATGCGAGCTGTAAGAAAATATAATGTTAATTAAGCACATACGTCGTAATATGATTCGCATATTCATTCATGGGTTTTTCTACCTCCTTGCAAATATCAAATGCTTCATATTTGTTGGACTGAAGCTTATAGGACACTCCGTCAGTTTGAATCCCTTGTTGCCGAATCATAAACTATTGTTACAACGAGATGATAAATGGTTTGGGAACAGCTCGCAGTGTCATTACTAACTATGGTAACGGATAAGAACAGTTGGGCACACAATTGAAAACCAGGTCAAGAGGACTGGCCCCTTTGGGGCTTTACCGTCCCGGAGATTGTATATCTCAGTCCACTGAGTCTTGTTTACTCTCTACATACACGAGACCAAGTCAACACAACTATCAGCTCAACCCTGAAGAAGGGACGGATCGTTGTACACCAAAGACCAGGGGAAAAAGGGAGTACTCAAAGGGGCATCTTTTTGGCGACACCTCAGGGCCAGCCAGTCCATGCCAGTTGCAAGAACTATAATAATTAAATTTGCATAATTAATGAGGAAATTGTATCATATTGGTAAATGCTTGGAATTTCATACCTGTGCATGCATTTGGAAGCATATAAAAATCTATCAACGTATAAATACCACTAAATAGATTAAAGTCATCGCCATTGCATTAGCTTTTACTGCCAGACTTGTTTCTTGTTTTTGTTCAGTTATTCCACGCAGCCTTGACTATAGGCAGCGCAGCTCTTTCTTATGTCAAAATCTCCGTTCAGACTACTGCGAATAGCTGAGTATTCGTGAGTTGAATAGAAATGTCAAGCAATTTATCAAAACCAGAAGCGGTTCACTCTTAACCCCACCGCGACTTCTCCACGGTGTTATCATCAATGCTACGCCACGGTCTCTTGAATTCCGCCCGAAATGGAATCCATTCTTCCCCACCTCTAGACAATATCTCTCACACTGAGTTCACCTTCTCTGTCAAAATGCAATGACATATCATTAGATAGATGTACAGAGTAGGCGTCAAAGCCTGGCTTTTGGTGAGCTACTCTGAGAGAGTCAAGCAACTCGTCCAGATATGGAAACAACATCCATCAATGTCCCATTGCCCGCTGAGCCTGTAAGTTGGAACAATAATAGCGTTCTCTATCTCTGTGTTTTCCAGTGTTGGTGCAATCATAGGCATCACTATGGGCTCCACGTTTGTCGGTCTCGGCTGCATCTACTTCGGCTGTTGCATGTTCTACACTCTCTTCCCGCGGAAAACTACCGTTGGCAGCAGGCCAGGGAGCTTCCAACAAAGTAAGTCTTTCCTTTTACATTTATGGTTTTAAAGATTGAGTTTTGTAGCTTTTAGTATCCTTTTTGCATCTTCTCTTCTTTACACCTAGAATTTTAAAGACCGTAGTATTTTACATTATTTATGACCATATATTTCAGAGAAGTTTATGATTCTTGAACTGTCGGTGTTATGTGTCCCTAGAGTTGTCATCACTATCTAAATAAGGTCCAAATAAGGTGCATGTTATGACATACTATGGCATGCCAGGTCCCATGGACCGGAGGATGTAATCCTTGTCTCGCCTACCGGTTCAACAGACAGCAAAGCCCGAAGGAGGCCAAGGACACTGTCTTTGTCTTGTATAATTCTGAGCTATTGATCTGAAAACCAAGTAGCACGAAACGTACAAGTTTCCCTGCCTGTTCCAGATCCATGCAAATCCCAGGAATCTTTCTGGCAGCGATTCTTGTTGTATAGGCCTTATGTTCTGCTACGTGTGCTAGAGGCTTTTATTCAACAGTCATTGATAAATGTCCACGCACTACCACCTGAGCTCAATATCCACGCCAATATAACGGGAGACATCTCAGACGAAGCCCACGTCACAGTTACAAAAATCACCAAGTTGTTCCTAACATCATTTCGTATGCCACATCACAGTGGGCCTGGCCATTGTCTTGGGCTCGAAGAGATGGCTTAAGGCAAAGATGGAAAAGATACCAGATCACGTCAGTTACGCATCAGTAGAAGTAACCTCAGCACCTGTTTATACAGTTTTTAAAGTTCAAGGTCACCATGCATGGCCTGGCAGCTTCGGCTCAAAGTCACTTTACCCCGCCTGACGCTCAGTCGTTATCTCGGAATGTTCACGGATCGTGGCCAACTTTTTGTACTCAGGCACTCTCACTGTCTGGTGGCGAGAAGGAATTTGATTACAGGGTGGACGTGTCTTAAAAGCTGAGCTCAGAAGATAACAGGGAAAGACACTCAGCTTGGAAATAGTTGTATCGACATAACAGCTTCGGCCAGTACTGCTATGATACGCAGACATGATGCGATGGCAAAGTGTTATTTTCACATGCACGTTCTCGGCATACTGACATGAAAGATAACATTTTTCACATTTCTTGACTTCTTTTTCCAGTTTTTTTTCTCATTAAAGTATTTGTATTATATATTTGAAAAGAAACACCACTGTTATCGCCGATATTGTGATTTCAATATATCAACATATCAATCAATAGTTTGTGCTTATAAACCTGTATTTTTCCTCTGATCTCTCAGTCACTGACGAAAGCTAGTGGATACTAGCTGAAACGTCTGACCGTTACCAAAATCATATCCAGTTGCTTGAGTAACTGCTTTTTGGCGGATATAGTGATTTGTTTGTAGTCATCATTATATGATACTCAACAATTTTGCTTTCTTTTGCAGACACTTTGTCAAACGCTAACGCCAGGAAATCTTCATGTGAGAACTCTCCGAGTATTACAAAACTGTTGGCCATCAACAACGGACATGTGTCAAACGGACACCGCAGCAGCATTGACAAACCCGCCAAGGTCAACGGCTGCCCCGGAAGTGAACCATTGCTCAGTAGTTGCCCCGGAAGTGAACCACTGCTCAGTAGTCCTCCAGATGGATCCGTGGAAGATCCCGGATGTGAACCCGTGGAAGATCCCGGATGTGAATCCGTGGAAGATCCCGGATGTGAAAACAAGAGCAAAGTGGTGATAGTTGTAGACTGTCCCTCGCCAAGTCACTCCACGTCAAAGGAGACAGTCATAGACTTCCCTGCGACTAACTCGGAGGCGTCAGAATCAAGAAAAGCCTCAATTGAATCAGCAGTATGAACAGTTCGTGCAGACTGGAACGTGAACGTCATTGGGTGACCCGAATTATACGTTTCAAACTTTGGCAGCTCGTGCCAGGTTTATCTATGGTTTACAACGTGCAAGCTGAAATACATGTACAGATCATCAAGGCAAACCTCCTACCACAAAGCAGAACAGTATTGACTATGTCGGAAGTCTATATTAGTACTACATTTTAGTCAATGTTATCATTTACACCGTACTGTAGTTTTCGGCCGGGCGCATAAGGCAATGCTCATTTCTACTGCATTTTGATCATCAATTCTGTTGACTTTGTTTTCACATTTCAAAGCTACGGAACAATATCAATGTCCGCCAGTCTTGGGGGCCATGTTTTAACATATACACCTCAATTTTGCAAGTCAGATACCGTTAGAAGACCGTGCGTGTCATGAGTCACTATGATATTTACATTCTGTGTAGGCTGTCTTCGACAATACGTGGTAGTTCCACTTGCGCTAAAAAAAAAACAGACGGTGGTGGTTTGGAAAGTCTCAAAAGTGCCATCTATCAACAATAATGGTAGTAATTGCACGTCATTGAATATTGGTGTAAGTTAACCTCTTGTTCCAAAGACTGTTTCGCACTCACCTTGAATAGATTGTATATTGTTTGCTACCCCAGAAAAGTACCCACGAAATCAGCTAAGAACATATTTTGGGCATTCCAATTTATAACGGTATGCAAAGACCACTAGCGCCACCTGGCGACATTTTGTCATAACGACAGCATAGATTAGAATGGCAGTATAACGTGCTGTATGGGAATGCACCTGTGTGGAGAAGTGGTTTAAAACTCTATGCGTTATGGGAAGTATGAAATACTTGTAACTATACCTGCGATATTGAGTGAAAAGTGGTCGAATCTTTTAAAAAATCCACTGCCAATTCATACTATATTTAACAGCAGCGCAATTATCAAATATGTAAAAAAAATGTCCACGTTACTGACCTATTCCTGTGGTCTCGTCACTACATACCGTCTGTTTAACACTTAAAATGACATCTGACAACTGCATAACTTTAATCATATCACCACTATAAAGCAAAGTGTAAAAAGAAGTTTCGCACACGATTTTTCTGACGATTTTGTTGCATATCACGGTTGTCATGTGAACGTTATTAACAATGTTGTGATAGTTTATACGGCAATATACATATTTGTAAAAAGACGTGGATCTGTGAAAGTCTGTATGTCGTGTTTATGAATATGTCATGGAACTATATAATGTCCAATCATGTCCATATGTGATGGTGAATATTATGATGATCATGACGACAATATATTTACCAATAAAATTGTACAGCCAGCCTGCTTTTAATTTACTTTACTTTATACTAGGCTCAAGTCGATGTTGGATATCTTTCAGGAGGTGATATAGGTAGATCAGAATATCTTTCTGTTTTATTCCTTCACTTGTTTGTGAGGAGAATGGCTTAATGATTTTCTATTGAGGTTGTCCAGGCACCATGTCATTTAGCGGTATTGAATCCATGCATATGGTTGCAGATTCTTGTTGTGTACATTTGGCTACTGCTTCTCCACCTGATTTCAATAACTCTGCTGGCACATTGTCTCCTGATGCCCGGCGACCTCTAAGGCTTTTCTGATTGTTGTTACCGCTGGTGTGAGAATATCTGAATCATCGTCTTCTTGTAGCTGACGGGTATTTATAAGGGACTTATGTTCTATTAGTCACAGACTAGAACAATCTTGTCTACGCTATATCATAATTAATGGTACTCTACAAGTACATCCTTTCTTTTGCTTTATGTTTCCCATCTGAACACCGGTTTGCTGTTGTTTTCAATCATATCTTTTGCACTTGGTTTTCAGAGGTGCCAGAGTATACAGTGCAATTTTACTAAGTATACAGTGGAATTTTACGGAATACAATCATATTAGTATACAGTGCAATTTTATTTAATACAGTGCAATCGTATTAGTATACAGTGCAATTTTACTACTATACAGTGCAATTTCACTAGTAAAATTGCACTGAATACCAACACAATTGCACTGTATTCCGTAAAATTGCACTGCATTCCGTAAAATTCCACTCTATTCCGTAAAATTGCACTGTATACTCTGTCACCCCTGGTCTCACCCCCCAAAGATACAGGCCGTTAGTTCCCTACCATGGTACCTGTGTAGTGAACAGACTGGCAGAACGAAATAGAACAATGGGGTCAGACCGAGGTGTTTGTCTAACCGCAGGGTATATCCATGACTCTTTGCAAAAGATCACGTTACATCATATCAGTTTCACACGTTATGAAGGAGGTACCTTCACAACCTCCACAACACGCAGTAACATTGGGTTGGGGGTTAAAAAGGTATGAAGGAGGACCGGTGTGACAGGCCAACGGTTTGTACGAAAAGATGAGTTCGTGGTTGACATTCCTGAGTGTTCGGATGGACGAACGGAACAACAGGGGGATGACCAAGCCCGTATCTCTGGTCGCCTTTTTGGTCTGCTCGGTTTTCCCAACAGGTATGTAGGTCGTGAATACTTAGGGAGAAGAGTGGGGAGGGGGGCCATTTTTTTCATGCCTACATTAACTCTTCACCAAATGTCAAAAGAACATTATCTGCTGGCTATCTACTGTTTATCTCTTCTGTTTCAACTGCATGCAACAGTTCAATTGCAAACTTGCGTAAATCCGACACATTGTTGCCTTTATCGCCACTTCCTGTCAGATGAGTTGTGAGGCGCTCTGTCCAATGTCTTACTAAAGTCAAAACGGTCTTTCTTGCACTTCTCGCTCTCCATTTCTACCAAACTGCTTTTTCTAGCGCGAAAAACGACGTTTAGCTGCAGTTGCATATCCGATATGACAACAGAAATTGTTTACATTGAAGTTAATTCGATCTTTGTGTGGGTAACTTGTTATGTGTACTCAAGGTCTTCCATGCGAAAACATGTCCTACTACTCTTCACAACAACATTCACACATGCATGATGCAGCTAAAACGTTACAGCTTCCACATATACGGATGTTCCACCAAACTTTCTATATTTTCTATCATACTTTGGGTTTTATGTCTACATAGTTCTGCAGCCCTCCGTTACCCTTTAACTGTCAGACATTGGTGCTTTCAAAAGAACATTCATGTTCATTCCTGTCCTAGGCCTCCGCCTATCCAAAAAACACGTCTCCCGTTTCTGAAATCCCTGTTGTAAAATTTAGATAACGTACTGTACTTAATATGAGGTTTGTGCTATTGAACTTGTCTCCAAACTTTAAAGTTGTTCAGGGTTCGAGTCCTGACATGCCACCGATCTTGTGCCCTTGGAAAAGGCACTTAACACGACTTTCCTCACTTAACTCAAGTGAAATGAGTATTGTCCTGTCCTGTATTTGTCCTCTGCGTTGGTGGCGGCATGAAATAAGTTGATATAACCTGAGTGTGCCGTCACCATGTCTAGTCATGAAATGTTGGAATACAAAAAAATATGAAAAAGTCAGTGCAGATGTATGATGAACGTTTTAGTTGGTTGTAGAAATACGTAGATCTAATACCTTCCTATGTGTACAGGTGTAAGTAGTTCTGTAAGACCGTGTTAGTGGTGTGTAGACATGTTTGTTTAGTTCCAGAATGTGCCAGACTCCGAATCGCCTTTCAGATGCCATCCCGTGAAGATTTACGTCAAATATTGTCTTGAAGAAGTGAAGCAAACTTGAACATGGTATAAGATGTCCTTGGGTCGTCCATCAAATTCTTAACATTTTTATACAAACTTTTTAAAACGTTTTATCATAAACGTATGCTGGTAGTAGCTTTGTCATCAAATGTTTGTAGTAAGTATATATACTTGTCACTTCTAGCGTTTGCACACAAGTCCTTCTTAAGTCGTGTCCTGTAATGTTATTAAAATTGCTCCATGAAGTACTTGAAAATCCTTCTTTTAAACTTCATCTTGAGTCAAGGCAGGCCCTGCGACATAGAAAATGTCTTCAGTGCGTCGTCTTCATCTGAAATAAGACGTGTCATTTTATCTTTCTTGTACGGATCAAGACGCTTGTTTTTACTGACTGAGCAGGCCTAAGGTAGGACACGACACGACGTACGACGTACTATGGTCGGCATGTCTGGGATAAGGTTAAGCTTGTCCCTGTCACACATTCAGAACCTTCTCCCGAACACCTTGCTCCCACCCATAGGGAATGTTCTGGAGACTATATTTGGCTATGTTTGACAATGTATAGATACTTGAACCAATGTTTACTAGATATACGAAATACATCTTCAAGAGTATATCGTTGAACTAGACACCTTATTTCTGTGATATACTATTCTCCTAAGAGTACATAATGCTCGTGCTGCTCAGACGAACATTTTTTGTAACCTGTCACACTTAAGAACACTTAATGTGTGTACGAATTAAGGGGGCTTGCCACAAGGTTTTTAATGTTTTTGTATGTTATATTTCTTTAACAAACGAAAAAAAAAGTGTGACAGGGGCTTTACTGAGAAGGTACCCGGGAGGAGTAACGTCGTTAACACATCCATTATGTCTGCTGCCTAGCAGAACTACGTCATACCGTACGTGAGAGACTGACACCTATTGTGGTCCACAACAAAACAGCCGGGGTTTGATTTCAACTGTAGGATAGAGTGATGTAACGGGGGCACTTCTGCTGTGTCACCGCCACAAGGTGTTTATTACTGCCAGGGTCAAAGAGGCGATAAAAAGAACGTTTTGTTTTGGGTCGCTTGTTGTGACAAAATCATGACACTTGTTTAGATCTTCGGGAAAGTTCACCATACTTTTTGTGTGTTTTAGTTACTGCCAGTGTCAAAAAGGCGATAAAACTATCGTTTTGTTTTGGGTCGCTTGTTGTGACAAAATCATGACACTTGTTTAGATCTTCGGGAAAGTTCACCATACTTTTTGTGGCGTTGACACTGGGAAAATGATGCATTACGAGGCATCAAAATAAGTTTGCATTTTTTAAATGTAGTGAGTTAAATCAATCATATCCCAATTGTTGTTGTTGTTGCATATCCCAATAGCATATTGATATACGGATCTGTGAGGCAAAAATGCGATGTCACTGACGGGAAACGGTTGCCTTTTTGGATCGTAGGGTGGTTTTAGATATTTTAATGTCATTAATTGTTCTCTCACTCATGGTTAGAACTACCAAAAAAGGGACCCACGTGCCTTGTTTTGGGGCTGTTTAAAACGCTTCAAGCGATGAAAAAATGTGTTAAGAATTGGCAGTAAATGTATAATATCAGACAAAATTAATTTCTTCATCCAGAATATTTTTGTTTTGTCGCTCTGAAATTGTATTGGATGCATTTCGACCACTACTGGTCACCAAGGATGACATAACGACTGTTTCTAAACATTTTCTCCCTTAGTGTTGTCTGAGGTCTGTCCGGCGTACGTGAGGACGACAGATGGCGAGAGTACATTCGTGGACAGTTTCTCCTGCCCCACGGTCTCCGACCCTGACGAAGACTCCTACTGTTGCAGCACCGCCACCTTGCGGTATTGCTGTGCCGACTGCACCCAGTCTCTGTCCCTGTCATGTAGCACTGGCAGCAGCGAAGTCAACTTGAGGTAAGCAAATATGCTGTTTTGTTTAACGTCATCTTCCTGTGCTAAACGTTAGGTGTCGTACGCATTGTTTGGGCTACATTTTTGGTAGTGTACGTATACGTAGTCTGTACAGCTGTCAATCTTCATAGACCGATAGCATCAATGTTTCTTACTTTGCACACCTAAGTAATAAGGACAAATTCACATTGAATTTCTGATTATATAATAAGGCTCTGTCATCTTTTCGCCATAACAAAGAAGTCAGGAGAAGTCGAATTTGCTTTAGACTATATTCCTCAATGTTAACTTGATAGTACATCTATGTATCACCAGTATTTTGATTTTTGGCCAGTGACTGGTCGAAAGCTCTAGGTGAGAGAATTTTTTGTGTTGGACCAAGAATTTTAACTTTAAACGTGGTACATAAACATTAATATGGTTCAAGTTCAAGTCATCGGTATGTAGTATCTATGGTGGATTGTTTGTGGGTATGTGTGAACTATGGCATAAAGTCTTCATTCATTCATTCATCTATCAATCCATTCATTCTGTATATCCGCATGCATTCTGCAGTACGGGCGCCATCGTCGGTATCTCGGTGTCTGCGGTGGTGTGTGTGGTTCTCCTGGCCGCCATCATCGCCCTGTGCTGCTCCTTCTGCTGTGAGAGGAAACTCCGGGGCAGTCAGATCTCCGTACAGCCTGGTGAGTCAGGTAGTACATGTGTACGACGTCTACTCACAAAATAACTGCTATGCAACATCATAAAACTCAGAAGTATCGTTGAAAAGATGGTGAAGGGACGTATAAGAGCAGGGCTGGCAATGTACCTATAGCCTCTATCTTGGTGCACTGAATCCGTTGTTTCCATCACTGCATAGCAAGGTGCTTCGTGCTGATGAAAAACTTGAGAAGTTATTCGTTGCATTATATAGTACTAGTCATTGTGCAGTGCGCCAAAGTCGTTCCTAGTTTCGTAGATGCACGAGACCTACCCTTACAACCCTCCCCCTCTCCCCAGCTCCATACCCACAGCCGCCCCGCGGCATGGAGATGTACCCGATGGGACCATTCCAGCCGCCGCCCTACATACCAGCCGAGAGTCCGCCTCCGTACACGCCGCAGGAAACAACCGCCACACAACAGAACACCGCCACCGCGCCAGGTGCAGGTGCAGCGGCAACGTCCCGACAGGTCCAGCAAACTGCAGCGCCGCCCTACCGACAGGCTCCGCAAACTACAGCGGCGCCCTACCGCGGACAGGCCCCGCCAGCAGCATCAGCACCAGACCGGCGTGCCCAGCCTCCTGGCCCGCCAGCACAGTCCGTCTCACTCCGGCAGCGGCAGGCAGCCGGTCCGGAACACGAGTTACCGCCGTACGAGCTGACTCAAGTCGGATAGGACTATATATTGTATAAAAATTACTAGCTATACCATTGCATTTTTAAAAGTACATATGTAACGTTACTATACAAATTGAACCTTAAGGTTATCTGCCATTCAGTATCTTTTATCTCATGTCAGACACATTTTTATTAAGAGCAATGAAATTTGCGTCAACATCTGTTTCAGCATGGAAAAGGTTCAAATACCTCGTCATGTAAAAACTATATATCTCAAAGTTGCTCGTTGCCTCTATGAGAGCTGCTCTCTGATCAAGTTGTCGAATGTTGTTTGTTTATTGTGTTGTGTGTTTTTACTTTGTTCTATACTACAAATAAAATTTGTCTACTCACTCGCTCTCACACTCACTCTGGTACCTTACTTGTATATAACAGGACGTCGTTCATGATACGACCGTGCAGTATCATATATCATGGCTCATATTATAGGTTCTCAGGTAGGCTACTCTACATACTGATTTACATCTGCTGTATGTCACATTACTCGGTCAAATGAAACCTTTTGCACGTATAAAACAATTATGGTACATTGGAAACATAACAGTGTGGAACATTAGTAGCAGCCTTCTACTGCTTCATGGGTCCGGGGTAGGCAGGGGGGTAGACCAATCCACCTTGCTGAGGGGGGTACTGTTGTCCAGGAGGGGGGTACTGTGCCCCTGGAGGGGGGTACTGCGACAGTTCGCCGCTGGGCGGGTACTGCGGGTACGGCTGGCCCGGGTATGTGGTCTGCGCCACGGTTACGCCAGCTGCCGGTTGGTTAGCGATCACAGTCGTGGTGGCTGTTGAAAAATACAAAATTACAACAACGCTACCTCCGCCTCCGACGAAACTGCGATCTAAAAACGATGTTGACGTGATATTCGGTGACAACTCTTCTTCCATATTCAAGGTATTTTTTTCATTCTTTATCTGTACGTTATATCCGCTCTTAGTGGTAAAATATATACCAGCTTTGCAGGCACGCCGCTCTGCGATAGATGGATATATATATTACACCGAACGACCTGTGATACATAACCATTGCGAACCATTGCACATTTTCTTCAATGTTCCCTTTCGGCTATTCCTTTGACATTTCTCTTCTGTTCTCCTGTTTGTTTGTACATATAGTTTGGCTGAATAAAGTTCAAAATGGGAACTATCCACATGTCTTAATGAGGAACGACTGCGGTGTGCTAGATGTTCGAATTCGGTTGGTATTAAAGCTTGAATAGTGTGTCCACTCTACTATACACTACGTAAAAAGCTCAGCCTACACACGTGCAGGGTCACGACAGCAGCCGGCACAGCAGGCGCAGCAGCAGCAGCAGCACACCGTGATGATGATGGCCACCAAGACGACACAGCCCACGGCGATGCCTACGATGGCTCCGATGCTGTGAGTGGGAGGGGGTACAGGGAGGAGGCAGGCAATATCATACCATCAGCTACAAGATACACATATACAAGAGTGTTTTAGCTGCACTTAAATAATTCTACGCTGTGAACAAATTGAAAAAAAAAACTGTTATGAACAAGAAACATCGAATATATATAAACAGGAAGATATTATAATATAACCCCAAACGCAAAGTATTCATATACATTCATACACGGCTAAATGGAACATCGGCTGACTAAAACACTTTGTTGTGTACAATAATACATGTATTTTCATTCGTTCGGTGACTTGTCAACCTGATGAAACTATTTAATCCCTGATAATACTTTTCCATGATAGCCCCCTTTCTATCCTTATTACATTGCACGTCCAGATTTTTAAAGCTGTTGTACTAACCTGAGATCGATGATGTCGTCCGCATCACATGGAGAGTACTGTAAAAAGATAGAGAGGCCAATGGAATTAAACTGTGCTATCGATGTCTCTAAAGTATGCAAGATGTCAGTCTGCGCATTTTGATAGCTTTATTCCTACCACAATAGAGCAAATGAAATGTATTTCCTTTCTTCTATACAGTATAACATCAAGCTGTCACATTATAAAAAAAACTCACACTTCATAATTCACATGGTTATACGTTCAGAGGCAAACCAAAAGTTAAGATTTCCTGTGCCAAATTCTTGACTGTTACACGATGCGCCACCTGGGAGAGCAGACAGGAACTGCAGCACATCGGGAGGTCGGAGACGCCGCAGCAGTACACATCCGAGGACAGATCACTGTACGTCGGACAGGAGAAGCCTGGCTTGCTGTTTCCGAAGACGTCGGTGTAATCTCGACAGCGTTCCGCCGAAGCTACGCACATGACACATGGTACTCTCCAAGCAGAGGTAGGGTCGCTCGGTATTTTGGCAGTATTTTCGCGTTTTTAATACGTCTTTCTACTTTTACGGTTTTTTTTTGGTCTTCCTCCCCTGGTGCGTTTGCCGGCAGAGGTAAGGGGAGGAAGACCAAAAAAAAAACCGTAAAAGTAGAAAGACGTATTAAAAACGCGAAAATACTGCCAAAATACCGAGCGACCCTACCTCTGCTTGGAGAGTAGACACATGGTAGTTTAGAGAGCTTTAGAAGATTAATAGTCTACAATGGACCCGTCTACCACCAGATACACACACACGGCCCCAAATCTGGCTTCCTTTTAAGACACTCTTTTTTAGAGAAGTGAGACGATTTCACTCCGTAATTATGATGTACAATAGACATCGAAAATTTGGAGGTACGTGTTTCTACCTTTCAAAACAGTCACTGATTGATGAATGTTCTATTCTAGCAGAAAAGTAAATCAAAAATGACTAAAACGAATTAACGGATCCATACATATACGACCAGCTCTCACTGTTATGCAAGTTTTTGTACAATGTATGTGTAAACATACGTGCATAGCTTCAGTAGGACTTGATCTTTTGTATCTTTTCTATGCATTTTGTCTGACCCTTTTCTGACCCTCATGACCTCAAGTACCTCATGAATACAGAATTGTTCAAACTTAGCACCAAGGTCTGTCCCTGGTGCTGATTCAACGATCAGTTTAGCAAGGATAAATCGAGCTAATACGTTGAGTTCAACTCATGAACAATGTCCGTTTGTATGACAAAACACACACACACACACAATTCCAGCGGGCAGGGGTGAGAGTTTGAGGTAAATAGGTCTGTTATCGATATGATGGAACTTTGGCCGGATAAGGGTGCGGGTGTTTACGTACCTTACTCCGTCCAGGCTCTACCACACGGACTGTTTAAACATTAATTAAATATACACTTTGCACAGTCACCGAACCCACTGGGTCAGCATTTAACGCATTCTCACAGAAATTCTTGTTGTTTTTAACTTTAATCATATTAACAAGACATAAAATTTTGCTTGTCACAACAAGACTATTTCATAACTCTTGTAGACGACGTAATGACTGATTGATGAGAATCATTGAAAGTTCGAAACTTTGACTGGCTTTGGAATCCTGGACGCCAGTTTGAACTGCGAGCTGTTACTACCATCTTTTAACTTGTATCTTTGTATTTTTGTGTTGCTGGACACTAGCACTTTTCTTCGATGACTAAGGACTACCAAGTATTGCTGGAATTATCAAAATTATCAGTAAAATGACCATACCAATATCACTCTCCAAAGTATCATCAGGATTTTGTATTAAAACCACGTTTGAGTCTGCCAAACGCAACAAGGAAGACTTCCTCTGCGGTAAGCAAACATCTAACATACTGTCACATAGTCACGAATTTAAGTCCTGGATGTGTGATGGGGGCTTAAACTAGCAAGTACCACGAATCAAAAGAGGGAACATCGACAGCAGGTCTCACCTGTCCCCAGAACAACGATCACAAACAGCACCACAGAGGCGGACATGTTGGAGTCTTTTCTCTCCCAGCCGTTCTTGGTGTAATGACCTGTGCGAAACTGAACTCTCTAACACCGAGAACGGTCGATTGGGACCGACCAATCACAAGATGGGGGTAGGCAGCTCCAGTCTGCGCAGGAATATGTGGCTTTTATTGTTAACGTTATAACGGCTTATCTTCTATCATGCGCATGTTGATAATTATATATTTTCTTGTTTACGTTTTAGGTTTGGCCACGGTGTGTGGGTCTGTATGTATGTCAACAGCATGGCTCGAGAAGCTGTGGATGGGTCTTCATATATATTTAGTAGGTAGGTAGCTGCCGTTAGAAATTAAACCGTGATTTATATTTTCCTATGTTCTAAAAAATCACAATCAACTACCATTGGCCTATTTTTTAGTACTCAAAGAAGCCTTTGACCCAGTGCTGACGTGGTAAAAAAAATCACCTGTTTACAGCACATGGATCAGAAAGCTGGTGAAGACCGATCAATTCGATCGAATATTTCGGTGAGTAAATTTCTTTGAGCTTGAGAGCATTTTTTTAATTTTCATTATGTACTTTACCAACTCAGATGAACTTTCAGGCGAGACTGACAAATTCAGTTTTGCAGTGGGGTTCGTAATACAGGTAAAGGTGTTTTTGTATGGTTTCACTATAGGTTCCACTGAAAAATTCTAGTACTATACTGTTCCCTCCCCCTATCTATCTGGGCGCAGATCATGTGATAAGGTCATGACCCAAAGTCACGAGTTAAAAGTCAAGGCAGCCATAGTCTTTTGCAGGTGCCAGCCAGATTCCCAACTTTTCGGGGTGCGTCACTCGCGGTAATACTTACTTATTTCATCTCGTTTAAAGTATCAACATTCTACAGTGTGTAACTTTGTAAGAGATAACATTGTAGTTATTTCGACTTTGCTCTCACACTTTTTCGAGGTGCGTCACACGCAGTTATATGTACTTCCCAACAATTTGATCTATCACCATGATGGTAGAGTACTGCGATGTTAGAGTATACCTTAATTTACTTCGTTAAATGTATCATCATTCTAGTTAAGTTTGCTAGAGATAGAATCCGGAACATTTTGCTTTGCAATTGCGTAAAAACGTTGTGATCGCTACGTTACTCACAGTATGGCGTGAGTTGGACTTTCCTCCAACAACAACAACAGCAAAAAAAAAATTGCAGCAAAACAACGAATAACAAATCTCAGACTACATGCAATTTTCCATTGCTGATGGCTCTCAGCCACAGCCTTTTCCTGTCCTTTAGACCTCCTGTCATTCTGCCTGTCAATCTTTCAGTCTCCCAACCAAGTGCTGGCAACCTCTTCTGTCTGGAAAAGCGGGCACACAATTCTATAGTGCAAACCCACCGCTCAGCCACCAAAACCAATACTTCCACTTTTGTTCCCAGTGAGAAACAAAATTTGATTTTATTTACAGACTTCAAGCCAGGACTGATTTACCGTACGTAAACCATGGCGTACAACGGAAAGTGCATGCGCCGCATGGGCTGGAACCTTGTGGTGATGGGGTTTCTCAGCATCACCCTGGGTATAGCAGCCGATGCCACGTTTGCCTCCATGGGCGATAACTGGGAGACCTTCCACTACATCAGTGCTCCCATTTGGAATGGTGTTTTCGTACGTTCAAGTCTAAAGTCACCTATTTTTACTGGACATTCTTATTATATGTTCCAGTCTTCATCGCGTTGTTTTCTTGCCAAGAGTGACAATATCGACATTACCTTTTTTCTATAGTTACCACTGTATTTGGTACACGGGCACATGTATACATGTACTAATGTATATCATCTCCACAGGTTGTCATAACTGGTATCTTGGCGATTAACAGTGGAAACAGACCAACAAGCAAGGATCTGGTATGTTACTGATTCTTCGATTATATACAAACAAACAAACAAACAAACATACATGCAGATTCTTATTTATAAAAAAACTGAAGATTTGACTGGTCAAAAATTATGTGAGCCCAATAGTTGAACACTTTGATGCTATTTACCCACTAACGCAGATAGACAGTGTCTAGCTGATTTGGTGTTAGCATGTACAGTACTTGACTATTATCTTTCTAACCTGATGTTTTCTTTGATAGATGATTGCAGTAATGGTACTCGGGATCTGCACAATCTTAACTGCGTTATGCTGCTTCTCGCTGGCCATTGTTGGATCCATTTATTCTTCTTATGATTACGATTATGATGATGGATGGTGAGACTTCACAATTGTCTAACCTTCAATCATGCTACATAGATCTGATGTTTAGGGGGAGGCAATGCCCATTTTAGTTTGACATCGGACAGTTTCACTCTATCTATCAAGTTCACAACATCAGTACCTTAAGCTTTGCCAAGAAAATTAGGTAGCATTTGTGTGTTATTGTTCGTCTCGTTGTTATGGATCGGATGACTGCTGGATTGATTTCATCAAACAGATTTTTACTTAAGTTGTTGAAGGCACCCAGTATAATTTCAGAGTGGAAAAACTGAATTTTCAAAGTCAGTTAGCTGGTCATTCTTTTAATGTAGAATGTTGAATTAATTCCATTACTGATATCTGTGAGGCAAAATGTGATGTCACTGACAGAAAACAGTTGCTTGTTTTGTATCATAGACTGGATGTAGCTATTTATGGGTGGTGCCCTAAACAATAAAGAGACCTCTCACATAGCTTATTTATGTCCTATTTGAAATGTTTTGAATATTAAAGAATGCTAAAAATGTGCTAAAAATGATAGAAAATGCCAGTATCAGAGATGTTTCGCCGCCTCAAAATTACATTATAAGTGCCTTCTAATGTTTCCATGACAGCAACGACTTCAATGGTTACTGTGCACCCTTTCCCCTATATGTGGTGAACGCTCTGCTGACTCTGCCCGAGGTCGTCATGGCCTTCGCAGCTGCCATCATGCCTTGTTGCGGACTGGCAAACAACCCCAACGGTTTGCCCGTAAGTGTCAAAGATACATCACACACAAACAGTACAAATTCTTATACCAGGTGTCAAAATGTCATCCAAAAGGCTCATTGAAAATGAACGCAATTTTGGAAACAGCATGTGACTAAAATTACTACATAATACCAATGATTACTAGTATGTTATACAGCGCTAGTTTTTTGCCGGGGACCACAAGGTTTACATTGAGTATCTCGGTCCCTCATTCATTCGTTCCATGGTTGGGTGTCGGATATACAAATGTATTACCATATGAATGAAAACGTATGAGTGTACATACGTCTGTGTCAATAAGTTTTGTAATGATGTGTGTTTTCACGACTCACTGCATATACTCACTAATGTAGATCCTTCAAACAGTCTTATTAGAATTAGTCCACTTCAAGTCATCAAGGTGACCAATTAGTTGAGTCACACATCGTCATCACACTCACTCACTATCAGCTATTCCAATCTTGGCCACCCACCATCTTAGGCCCTGTTCATATGAAGTCAGTGAAGGCGCTTTACATGTGATGTGGTTTCCGCCGAAGCCAGTTTCAAGTGGCCCCATCTGAACGCTCCAAATCACATTGAAAGCGCCTCGATCCCAAACACTTCTAGAGGTGGTTGCGAACCGGTTTTCCTGCATCGCGATTTGCGTCTGAACGCAATGTGATTTCAATGTGACTTCACCTGGTCATGGATTACGGGGTGATATTTCTTGATTTATAAGCAATACCAAATTTTACGTGGCAGCAACTTATAGAGCAGTAATGGTCAAATAATGCGTCCGTTCTAGGACGAGCTTCACCGCCTCTGGCGAGACCACGTCGGCATTTGGCCGAGATACGCTGGGAGAGGGGCATCAGCAAGCAGGTCGTTGACCTCTGACATTAATAACACGCTACCTTGCGTGTTTTCATCAAACAACAATGAATGCAGTTTCGGAGAATTGTGATCGGGCACGGTTTGAAAGGAATGTATGGCACGTGGACCAGATGTAAGGAATGCGAGTTACCCGAATCGCGGTTCGTGTGGTTTCATATGAACAAGGCCTTTTTATTAATATTCCGAAACATGTAATCACAAGACGTGGTGACGGCACACTCAAGTTTTTTTTAACTTATATTAATGCCGCCACCAACACAGGGACAATACAATACTCATTTACACCTGAGCGAAGTGAGGAAAGTCGTGTAAAGTGCCTTTCCCAAGGGCACAAGATCGGTGGCATGTCAGGACTCGAACCCGGGGCCTCTGGTTCCGAGTCGAGAACGCTGCCGCTACGCCACACGACCCCACTATCAAGGCCTTATTTCCCCACAGGTGTTTGGGTACAACCAGCTGCAGGATCAGGAAGGACCTGACATAGCACCATGGCACTATGGCACTATGGATCCGCCCCCTTACATGCCACGTGCACAGTCCACCATTGGGGCAGCACCTGCTCAGCCACCTGCAGCTGGTCAGCCACCTTCAGGGCCACCTTCAGAGACCATACCCAAGTCACCTACCTAGAGGTTGAAGTGAGCTATAAAAGCTGAAAGCTTTTTTATGACAAGATGGTATACAAATTGTTGTTGCTATTAAATGGATCTTTTACCCATCACTTTTGCTTTTGTATCATAGGTGTGCTGTATCGGCTTTTGTTCATTTGGTAACAGTTTTGAAAATTGTATAGGATCTATTTATTTGAGAATGGCTGACAACATTTAGCTATCCTATTCTGTCTTTTAGTATAATATAATGGGGTCATTTTAGCAAACGTTTATGAATTGGTCAACATTCAAATCAGGATGATTTCTAAGAGACCACATGTGGAATTATTTAGGACTATGCAAGACCTCCAACAGCAATAAGGAAAGGTTCTATTTTGAGTGTGCAAACAGCTAGCTGCACTTGACATGCTATGTATTTCTGCACACGTGTGCACACATACATCGACATTCCTTTGTATTTCATTTTATGGAGATAATATATGATCAAATATATATTGACATGTATACATAGATGGACAAATGGGAAGGTGCCTAGTTGCCTACTGTCTATAGTGATTGATCCCTGTATTCTGGTAGACAGTCATCAGGGATCCAGCAAACTTCAGGCAAAATTGCTCGCATTTAAGCACAAGTGTTGATGGTCTAAGGTATACTTTTGCATATATATACCCAGTGTACGTAGTAGCTAAACCCTTGGTGTAGTAGCTGCCCATGATTATACGACAAACTCTTTTCTACAATTGTTCTAGTTAATTAAGACGTATAGCATCCACAAGGACAGGCAATACTGCTGAATGCCGAAATAAACTGTTGTGATATCATGTTTTGTCGCCTCAATTCTTCTTTAAAAAGGTTTAAGCTTTTAAAATTTGAAAATGTAGGAATCCTTTTTTTGCCCGCCTTGTTTTTTGCATTCTGCAGGATTTAATTTATAGAAATTACTTGCTGTGACCTTAGCTGGGAAACCCTTGTTTAGGGTTAGCCTACAAACCCTAATTTACTCATCTCCAAGCAAAGGGACTTTATGTTATACAGGCTGCCAATACCTACAGGCGGATAACAAAGTCCCCTTGCACCCACTGAATCTGCTTGGAGATTACTTATTCACGCCCAAACGCAGGTCATGTGATAATGTATTGTATGACCCAAAGTCACGAGAGGCACGAGTTGAAAGGTCAAGCCAGTCAGAGAAGTGGGACGTCTTTTGCAGGTGCCAACCAGACTCCTAGCATTTTTGGGTGCGTCACACGCGGTAATGTGTAAAACTGGTGTATCACCAGTGGCATCGTATCGTTAGAAGATCTTATTCAAAGTATATATCAATGTTCAACGGTAACTTTGTAGATATAGAATCCGGAACATTTTGATATGCGTAGTAACGTTGTTATTGGTAAGTTACAAACGGATTGCGCTAGTTGGACTTTGCCCCACACACAATACAAAAACAAGCTTATTTTTAGCGTTAGAACAAAGTTTAATTATCAATAAATTTAAAATGTTGCCGAAAAGGTTTAATATCATCTGGACTTGGTTTCATGTAGCATTACATTTTAAGTCTTTGTAGTATATCATACAATAATTCAGCTTAATATGTTTACGTCAATACAAAAAAGGAGTTAACTCACTTTTTGCCCTGTACTTCAAAGACCAAACTCCATATGTTGCTTACAAGGTATTAAAGCAATACTGCATTTTTCCTAATATGTTTTAAATGATTATTTCAGTCTCGCTTTGGATAATGTTGTAATACATGTATCATTAATTACGTACTTTTTACGTTTTTTTTTAAACCAGGACTGAGTTATTACATACAACATGACGCAGAACGGAAAGTGCATCCAAGGATTGGGATGGAGCCTTGTGGTGATGGGATCTCTGAACATCATCCTGGGTATAGCAGCTGATGTCCTGTTTGGAGTGATGGGTGCCTTCGCCCTCTTTCACTACATCAGCACACCTATATGGTGCGGCGTTTTGGTAAGTCAAAGATCGAATAACAAAACTGACCAGCTCATCTAACTTTAAGAAAGCTATCCACCAACTGTTATTTATGTGTGACTTCTGTTATTAGTTTGTAAATTGTAGATTATGTTCCTTCATTTGTATAGAGTGTAAATCTCTTTTTGTGTTATATTTGTGTGTTTTTACTATGTTATTTGTTGTACGTAATCTATGTTTTTAATGAACTCTGGAAGACTAGCCCCTTGGCTAAAGTAAAGGACATAGGAATAAAGAGAATAAAGAGAGTGCTGAGTATAGCATTCTTTCCCTCCTAAAGGCACTTTCCAAGAACTATGCTTGCTATAAATGCTAACTGGCTATGGTGGTTGTGCATATGACTGCTACACATTAAATACTTGTTATCCAAACGTTATGTACATGTTAGCTGATCCATTTATTGTGTTTGTTCCACACAGATCTTGATAAGTGGTGTTATGGGTATTTACAGTGGAAAGAATACATCAAGCAGGAATCAGGTTGGAATGACTTTAAATCGGTAGAAGTCATACAATATGCATGTTATGAACTATTGAAACTTTAGATAAATCCAATGATATCTATTATCCAGACTTAGCCTGTAGAATTGCATGACTAGGTGTGTTGCCATAAGCTTAAAATAAAGTCCACATTGGAAATTTATCATTATTAAAGAAAATGGTTTCTGTTCTGTTGGTAGGTAGATCTGACCTGGGTTAGTAACTTCTGATTCAAACACAAGGAAAAAATTAAATCTGTTGAGCAGTTTTTACATCTTCAAATGTTGCTATTAGATGGTGATTTTCTTGGTCGGTGGGATCGTTGCCATCTTCTTCAGCATTACTTTACTCCTGTTGGGCATTATCGGAGCTCTTGTGGATGGAAATATCTGTGATCAAGAACATCACAGGTGAGTCCATGCTACTGTCAGTATGTAACCTTTGTTAAAAAAGGAACTGTTTTTCATGATGTAAGATCATTTTTATTTGAATACATCCTGTATAGAAAGATTAAAAGATTTGAACAGTTCAGTTTCTTCACCAATGAAGTACAAAATTAATGTCGGAATATGATTTATACATCATGCTTGATAGTAACGAACGTTTGAAAATATATTCAATAACATAATAGATATCAACAGTGTCCTGCAGGACTTCTATGGCTGTTATATCTCTCTATATGAAAGACTGCGTTATGATAAATATTTCATTTTTAATTTTTTGTTGTTGTTCCAGCTATCACAATCCGTGTTCAGCACCAGCCATTGCACTACACACGGTGAATGCTGCTCTGGCTCTGGCCGAGGTTGTGATAGCCTTTATCGGCTCCGTCTTGGCCTGCACTGGGCTGGCACAACCTGTGAGTTAGAATTTAGCTTCATCAAATATTCTTTCCAACACCAAATTATCATGACATCTAACAAAACCCGAAACGGCCGAAAATTCATGCGTGTGCGGATGTCATCCATATAATCAAATCAACATGGCCTTAGCATTTTATTTTTGTCATGATAACACAATGATAACACTAGAATTGCTTTCCAGACTGAAAGGTACGACCGAGGACCCAACATGAGTCCTGGACAGGCTGCGTTCATCATTGGCCATGGGGCATCAGGTGAGTCTTGTTTGTGTCACGGTTGGAGATCTCAAGGTCAGTCTGGCATTGTCAAACTAGATATGCCCACTGTAAGAGTTTCAAAGGGAATGACATCCTCTTCAGAAAAGGCATGTACAGTGAGGGTGAGTGTGTCTGTCAGTCGGAATGATGGCCTACAGTTCCAAAGTTGAAATGTTTCAGTCCTTTTTCCAAATGTCCTAGAGGTTAAAAAAACAGACCATGTTTTTGACAAGGCTTTATTTGTAGCAGTGTATGGACAAAGGTCATTTATATTATTTAAAGATTATTCATTAACCTTATCTAGATGATATCATCTCCATGGTAAAGCAATTGCGTGTAACTAGCAATCTGATGCTGGATCACACAGTGTATGAAATATTCTAATATCTTAGTTTCAGTTTCATGAAATCTGTGCTCTGTTGACATTTTCCAGTTGCTCCAGGTGCAGAGGGTAAACCCTACCCACAGCAGCAGGTGTTTGCTGCCCAGCAACCTTATGCCAACCAGGGGTTCTATGGCACTTTGGCTCCGCCTCCTTACACACCACAGACCAACAGTGGCGCTGCACCTGGTAGTGCCTCTGCAGAGACCAAAACTGAGCCTCCTGTCTAGATCTAACACTCAAACAAATGTGGCTGATCCCAGTAGAAAGATCTTTTATCCTCATCAATCAGTATAACTTTTTAGCTCCTTTCCTTGTATCAGTGAGACAGGCCGTTACTTATTCATGCTAAGACCATGATCCCCTTTGTGTAATATTTCAGAAAGAGGTTTATGATTAGTGTGTGAATACAATACTATAGTAGTTATGTTCTTGACTTGACTGAATGTTTGTAAGAGAAATCAGTGCAATGTGTAAAGCCATTGATTTGATACAACTGATTTGATACAATGATTGTATAGAAGATTATGCGTTAACTGAGGTTGGCATAGCACTTGAGGTTCATAAAGATCAAATGGTTATGAATGACTTCTGAGCCACCTTATGTACAGTGTTAGGCTTTATTTTCAATATCTTATGATACATGAGAAAAAGTGTCAATACAAACAAAACCTGTACTTAGTAACCAATGCATTGATGTGGAAGTCCTCAAACTAGAATATTTAACTTCAAGAAACTCACACTAAATATCACCATTCAGTCGTAGTTGATGGAATCATTGCAGCATTTCTGCACAAAGACAAGACTGATAATACATTTAACCATGTGCTCAATCATTAAATTTTGAAACAAGAGAGCACATGATTACCCAATTGCAATATCAAGATCAAACATGACATATTATAATGAATGTACAATACACTATAATACTATAATAGTGCAAGTGTTCTTATGGCTCTTCACATGTATTGTAATACATCTATACAAATTACATAATTTACATCTCTCATTGATGAATGTCCGTTGAGTAATTTTTGTGTTGCTTAACAGTAAGGTTGTTACTTAGGTGTTCTTTAAAGTAATACTGCAATGCTCTAGTTATTCATAAAATAGTTATGAACTGTTATACTGGACAAATAGGTTCAAATTTGGCAGTGACTTGATATTGTTTGATTTGTACAGAATATATACATAAGATATACATATACATGGCATTTTGTTCGTACATGTCTACGTTGTAACTGATACAGGAATACTAAATCTAATAGATCTATATCACAATATAAACATAATCTCTAAGCAGAATAAAAATATCTTGCCTCAATTTCTATATATATCTGAACAACTTTTGAAAACAAGGAAAACATCATTCTGTACACCTTGCAAAGTCTGCTAGCGCTAAGAATAAAAACCAAACAAGATCACGGTCTTCAACAGTCTGACTTTCACAATAATGTTACCATATATAGTTATAAATCATATCATCAATTTTTTATTAAGCTATGAAGCTATGGTGTAATTCCCACATTACATAGGGGTGTTAGGGGATGAAAACGTTATTATTGGTTGAAAATTTCTCTTGTGTGGAGGTAAGGGTCCTTTGTTTCAATTCGTGTCTAAAAGAAACATATCTATTCTTTATTCTGTGCATTTCTAATTAACACATACAGTCCAGAAGAGTACCGGCGTAAGCACATACAGGCGGTGCAGGGGTCGTGAGGTACCCCAAGGTGGTGTTCGCTGCCGCGGTTGGGAGAACAGTAATCGCAGCTTCTTGATACAGGAGTCCTGGGGAACATCAGAGGCAACACACTGAGATTTAGTAGGTTAATCTTTTAAGGATAGTAGAAGCAGTGCTTTTCATGGACGTTCATCTGTGTTGGTAGTAATTATAGTAGTAATCATGAAGGCGACAGTGGTCATTGAAAATTTGATCTTTGTGTACCCTGGTGTTGTAAGTTCAGCATTGTACCATGGCTAGTATGAGTAGCTGTGTAGGTCACATCACATAATACATACATTGTATGACGTGAATTTTAACTGTAGAGGGAAGTTCTTGATTAAAAAAATGCTTACATCAGAATTCTGTATCTGAATAACATTGAGTGGGTGATAAAGCCTGGGATTTTTTTCGAGCGTAGCGGAGCAAAATCCGGATGGTGCGTATACCCAGCCTATGAAAATATTGGAGCGCAGAGAAACTTGTAAGTACAAATGTTAGTCCAACAATGTCAAAATCACATATCCATAACCCGTGTGCTCCCTACCTGCCATACAGGCGTTCAGTACGCTGACCAGTACCCCGGTGATCATGGCTCTGAGCGCCAGCTCAGCCAGGTCACCCTTCCTGTTGGGCGCCATGGGCCCGAGTCCGCCCAGCTGGATCCCGATACTGCTGAAGTTAGCAAACCCACAGAGGGCATAGGTCGCGATGGCTTCTGATCGTGCCTGGATGGAAATATGAAGATTTGGTCATAATTTTTGCCATTTCGTACTCTACCGATTTATATTCTCTTCAATAGGACTTGAATCCCTGCATCATCTAAACTTATAATTTGTAGGAACACAACTTGCAGTCTGTTTCGGAAGCCCTAAGTCTAAGTTTAATCATCTATACAGTTCCGTAGTCAAATTTTACTCCAAAACTGAACCGTGCATATGTTTCCCTTTGAAGAAATCATAACTATGTATCTTTTCAAAGAAAATAAAACCAACTCTATTCCAAACTTCAGTAGTAGTACGCTTAGCTTCAGTGTCCAACTATGAATGAGTAAGATACAAGACGTATTACTCAACATGTTGTACATCCCATCCTTTCAACATGGTAGGTACACTATACTTACCGATATTTTCTTGGCGGCGACTATATCAGCCAGCTCCAGGTAGGCCACGAACTCGTTGATGAAGATCTTCTTGCCCAGCAGCTCGGCGACGACAGGACAGTCTTCCCACGGAACCCCCATCACGTAGGCCAGCGGCATGAACACGTACGAACAGATAGTCTGTGGAGGAACACAGCAGTCAGGGAGTCAGTTAGAGGCAACAGTAACATGTACAAGATGGTTATGTTTTTTACAAGGTTTGCTAGTGTAGATGATATGAACCTACTGCTACTACTACTATAACTACTACTACTACTACTACTACCACTACTACTACTATTACTACTACTACTACTACTACACCTACTACCACTACTACACCTACTACTACTACTGATGTTTTGCTTCTCACCAAATACTACTAACATTAGCATTACTACTAATAATACTTCTACTGCTACTACTACTTCTACGACTACGACTTCTACTACTACTACTGCTACTACTACCTTTACTACTACTAGTGTTTTGCTTATCAACGTAAGTTTAAAGGGAGGCTCTTGGCTGGCTGTCGTCGCTAATTAACCTGCAAATTGCATCAATATTTTTACCCAAAAACGAGTTCCCCTTATAGCTTGACGATGTTTAGAATGTTATTGTCATATACTTCTTGCAGAAAATAGGAAATGTCTTACTTATCTATATATCTTGTTGTCAGTTTTGATGTCTAGAAGTGAATCAGGACTTTACCTCAAACGTGAGGTTGGGGATGTCGACCATCCCTCCCAGCCATGACAGCACGGTGTTGAGGAAACCCAGTAGCGCGATGAAGGCGATCAGGTTTCCCACGATGTTAGCGACCAGCGTCACGGCTACGCACGCACCGGAGGCCGCCGCTTCTATTATGTTCCTCTCCTGTCTGCAATAATGATAGAAATTCAAGGCTCAATATACATTTTTTTTCTGCAAACCTACATTGCTACAGTTATAACATTGAAAACAGACAAATTTTACCTGTACCACTCAGAATTTAGGAAGCATGTATCACACTAAAAACTGTTCATGTTGTCATAATCCCTTCCATACTTTACAGATGGTAACGGCCAATATACAGCAAAAAAATCCACATACTCCTACATGTATACCTGTATATATAAATCCAGCACATGGACTGGCATAGATAGAGATCAGATATACCCGCACAGCCCAAATATCACCTGCATTATAAGCAGGTGGTATTTCGAGTCCTTCATATTGGTCATTGAATTAGTATGGGCATGGTTTCGTAGTCCATTCCTATATTAAGCAATGACAATAATATGTTGAGATGACGCAAAGTACAACATGTAGGATAATGAGCTTACGATGTTTCCACTTGAAGCCTATCGTCCTTCTTCGTCCTCTTCCTCTCAATCTCCGGATAGACCAGTTTGGACATGGCGAGGGCGGTGGGAGCCGCCATGACGGTGCAGGCCAGCAGGTGGGAGGGGTTGATGCCGAAGGAGATGAAGGCCCCGAGCACGCCGCCCGCCACGGTGCCGAACCCGCCGGTCATCACCGCGTGGAGCTCGGACTTCGTCATGGAGGGGAGGAAGGGACGGACCAACAGGGGAGCCTCCGTCTGTGACGTTTGGAAAAAGGAGAGGGTCACAACATTTCAAAGAATTTCCTAGCCAATGTTAATACTTAACGCGAGGTTTCTCGGATTACGTAATTACTTTCTATTCGTAATGAGGACAATAACCCAACCACTGTAACTGGCATCGACATGCTCCACAATATAGATAAAGCTACTGTCATACATAGCCGACTATGGCTTCCCGAACACTGCCGAACTCCCCCAACCATGGATATGAGTAGGTAGCGGGAATCATGCACGGTCGGCTGTCGGGTTGGCTGGTGTTCGTACGCGTGGTCAGCAGTGGTCGGGGCGTGGTGGAGAGTCGAATTGAATCAAATTTGTCAACCCTGATTTTAATCAAATTTAAATCAAATTTGATTCGATTCGTATAGAAAGTTTATCAAAGTTAGTCGTTGCCTAAATCTGGTCAAATTGCTACCGGACGTCAGCCAACCCAGGTTGGTTGGTGGTCGAGAGAAGGTCCTGAATGTGTGACAGCGCCTAAGCCTCACCACAACGACACGTACCTGCCCGACGAAAATGTTTCCCGCTGCGCTGATGGACTCCGGGCCTGACGTGCCCAGCGTGAACTGCATGATCCAGGCTAACTTGTTGATGACGATCTGCATAAAGCCCACGTAGTACAACAGGGACATCACCGTGCTGAAGAAAATGATGGTGGGAAGAACCTGCGGAGAAAGAAACGTTGTCGAGATTTACATCTTACTACATAAAGGGTAAGAAAAATTGGTGTTTGGTAGGAAACTCTGGTGATGCGTAGAGACGAATGAATGAGTGAGTGAGTGTGTGTGTGTGTGTGTGTGTGTGTGTGTGTGTGTGTGTGTGTGTGTGTGTGTGTGTGTGTGTGTGTGTGTGTGTGTGTGTGTGTGTGTGTGTGTGTGTGTGTGTGTGTATGTGTATGTGTAAGTGAGTGAGTGAGTGAGTGACTGAGTGAGTGACTGAGTGAGTGACTGAGTGAGTGACAAAGAGTGACTGAGAGAGTGACTGAGAGAGTGAGTGTATATATGTAAATGAGTGAGTGAGTGAGTGAGTCGGTTAGTGGGTGAGTGAGTCGTAGCGACATTTGTATGTACTAAATGAATGCTTCAGATTCATTTGAAGTCGTACAGAGCCTTGATCATTTATCCGTTTCTGTACCTGGGTTAGAATTACACTAGCTTGGTAGTTATGTACAAATGTAGCAACCATTTTTTTCGTTCGGTGTGTGTGGTTTTCCTTACCTGGAACACAAAGTTGTGCACGAGGTAGGCCGGTGTTACTGTCAGGTCGGCGAAGGACGTCACCTCGCTCAGGTTAGCGGTGTTGCTCATTACAACAAGATTTGTGCCGAAGACGAAGGACGTCCCATCGTCTGTGAAGGCCAGAAACCCCTGAAAGAAAAAACGACAGATCAAACTTATTCAAAAATACTACATGTATAACCTATTAGGCAAAAGACACAACATACAAGTCATGGTGACTTGTAGTAGCAATTGATACTAATATAAGAACGGATGCAGTGCGTCCTAAATACTAGTGTATATAGACCGTGCAAAAATTGAAACATCTTGTATGTGACGTAATGTTGTGATCTTCTTCTGTTGCAGGTAAAACAATTCTCACCTGGAATTTGTCGCCCAGAAACTTGAAGACGTCGTACCCAACAGATGTTCGCAACACGAACAATCCCAGCAGGAACTGGAGAGAGAGACCCCACAGTACCGGTCGCCATTTCACCTGCAAGGTCACAATATCCATGGCTCAGACTTTGCACTGATAACTATCAAAGATCTGTGGGTGATTTTTGCAGGAAATATACTTTATGTGAAATGCTATACAAGCTATACAAAGGCCATAAACAGACTCTAGTAGAAGTAGCAAACCTTTCCAGGACTCTTGGAGAAAATGAAGAGGCAGAGGATGATGCCGAGATACCCGACCAGAGAGATGAGTTGGTCGGGCTGCTTCCCAGTTTCCAGTCCGAGAAAAAGTCCGATGCCCACCAAAATGCCCAGGTAAATGACCCTGCAAATCATTAACAATGATTATTTTTTTCTAAGCTTGCTTTCAGTATTCATGAAGAGGTTTACGCCCTTCTAATCGGTTCATGTTTCTCTTCGCAGAAGGAAAACATATTGCTTTTGCTCAGTTTCCTCTTTCTCTCCTTCTTCTTCTACAAACAGACAGCTGGTGTGTTTCGCCGAAAGGCGGTTATACCGGCTATACAGATACAGATACAGATAGAGACAATGACCTGGACCAGACGTCTGTCACCATGGTAACTGTTGCTGTAGCATGTGGTATTTATGTGTATATGTTTACCATACATGCTTATATGAATGTATCAATAAACAAACAGAGCAGTATTTTGTTGGACCACTTGAAGGTAAATATTATGCACTTGCTTTGCAAATGTTACCTTTTTAGTTACCATATATTTCTCAAGCGCAGATCCTTTGAAACTACGACCTAGTAGTGGTATTACACAGTGTCAAGAGCAAGACACATCTCACCATTTGGCATACTTCCAGACTTTCATGACGCCACCTGACGCAGGTTTGAGACAGGACTTGTAGATGGTCTTCCCCCACTTGTCCCGGATGAGCCCGTACACCACAAACACGAGAACCACCAAAGTGATGATAAGAAGAGCGAACGCACGGCAGAAGTTGATGACGCAGGCAGCGATGAGGAAGGCGAGGTAACCGAGGCCGAGGACGGCGTAGACGACTCTCCAGATAACCACGTTGTGTTTCTTAACGAAGTTACCGATACCCTCCGAAATCTACAATACGTGTAGAGAGTGAAAATTACTGCTTGGACCAACATGATGGTCCCTACCCATACGCAATCGCACCTAGTATAAGAATCGTTCTATATGTTGACAAAGTAGTAGTAATCACACGTAGAACTTGTTCTAGTATTGTTGATTAAGACTTATATACTCGTATATACTAGTATCTGTAAGAGAATAGTAAAGCAAAGTTGTGAATATTGGTTACATGAATAAAGTAAAAATCACTGCCATGGCATTGAAAAATACATGCTAACGATGTACCAAGTACAATTCACTAGCAAATTGGCTTGCCAGACAGAAGGTAGATATTATGCCACATTCATAGTACATAGAAACTACCTATTGGAAAGTAGTATCGTGATCCATGTAGCAAATATGATAAGAAATGCGTTTTCTCAAAGAAAAATGATTTTTTTTATAATTACCATTGATACGCCCTTCATACATCTGCTCTGATCTTCTTCCTCCTCCTCTTCTTCTTCTTCACCGTCGATGTCATCTTCGTGATAACTCGGTGGATCGCTGCTCGGCAGTGATGAGTTCAGCCTGTCTACTACATTGTCGTTCACGCCTCTCTCTGGGTCTCTCTTTGTGGGCTCCATGGCGATATCCTCTGTGCTGAGGGCCGGGTTCTGATAGGAGTGAGCGCTCTGGAAATGTTTGAAACCTTAGATTAATGATTCGTTATTGGGTAAAGCGACCCTGAGGACTACATACCATACCTAAGTCATTGCCATGTGTTCTGTAGTCTCTACCGGAGGACCGGAGAAATATTACGAAAGTCAACAGAGTATAGAATGCGAGACAAAGGCAGATGAATGAGTGATGGAACAATTTGGACAATGGTGGACTAAACCAGCCAAGTGTATGCAGGCAGCAATTGAGAAAAAAAAACACAAATCATTTAGAAGACAACAGAGTGTCGCCAATGCAAAAACAACTTGTCGAGATTGCCTTGATTATCTGTTGGACCCTGGGCAATCGACGCCACCAGAGTGGCTGGTACGAGTAATTGTCAACAAAATGGAAATGTGGCACTGACATTAGATGCGACGGGCCGTCGGACTGGCATTGAATGAATGGTTTATTTTGTTGTAGTAAAACAACAAGAAGAATTTCACAGTCTGCCGACTGAATTACAGTATATTCAGTAGATAGCAATTTATTTTGCCCTATCGCATTAGCTTTGCCGAGGATGCCATCCATAAAATTACTTGCTGTGGCCTTGTAAGTATGTGCATGACCTGTAATAAGACCCTATAAGTATATACCGGATGTTTTAAAAGACCCATTATCTCCTCTCCTTGCTGGCACTTTTAGTCCCAGACCCAATCTTAGGACAAGTCCAAACTCCATGGTTAAGTGGTTATGTCCTCACGTTTTTGCCCCCCAGTAGCCAGTTTGCAGGTTGATAATGGGAGAGATGTCAATGTGTGATTTATTATTATCTAATTAGAGGATTTATAAACAGCTCAAACATATTTCCGTTGCCACAGACTGGCGTCCATTAACAAGGATATCACGTTGGACTTTGGATCCATTGACATAGTGTACACATTTACAGTAGTCGGCCACACATAGAGCTGGGTCAAACAGGAGGGCTTTGTTATAACCTCCCTGGGTCAACAAATCCCCACCACCTGTAGTCATAGTCACAGTCAAGGCAATGCCATTGACAATTTACAGTATTTCGTACATGCATGTCTATTGTGGTAATGTCACTAAATCATGGTACAGTAGAAAAGCAATGGCAGCAACCAATGGCATTTTGAAAGATGTTTTTAAGATTACCGAAAAATTCCTCTCAAAAATCACATAACTCCTAGAACTAGACCTGCACTGAAGGGCTACTTACGACATCCTTGCCGGAGGATCGGCGTTGAAATTTCCCTTCCATTGTTCTTGTGTTCACCACTTAGATCCTGGGAACACAGAACAAATGCTCAACGTCAATATTCCATCTACGTGTAGCTCTAACACTGATGATTAATTATAGTCATACTGCAAGATTTCTTCAACAGAATATATCTATAACTCTCGGGGATTCCACTATTATTTGACAGGATAGGTGGGCAAGTTTTCTTTCAGCGAGTACAGCATCGCGAAGTTGATAAATTCAAGGCTGTCATCAGTGAATCTGTCATTGTGATGGCCCTGTGAATGGCACTATTACTTCAATATTAGTTGAGGCTTAACCTTAACTCTCGAAAAATGTAAAGCAAAATGATTTTAAAATTCGATGACATCTTCGTTCAACTGTCCATATCAGCATATGTGGTGCTAAGATTGCGTAATGCGATGCAGGGCTTATAATGATATAATATAATCATCAATTATTTTGAAACCTGAGGATCAGCTGACGTTTGGATTGTACTTAGTACAAAATGATTCAGTGGGAACAAACAGTCGCTACCTATTGTACACAACACAGATAAGGTACACCAGTCATGGTCAATAGAACATTGATCATTTGAGAAGGATCCATACGTACCAATCACGTCTTGCTGGTCAATGTACTGCCTGACCAGTCAACTAAGTACACATATTGCAAGGCGGATGCCATTCCCAGAACGTTTGTCTACAAATACTGCATTATGTGCTAGGTCCACCTGGTAATTACGTGCGTAAACATGCTCCAGTTATGTCGGACGTATCAAAAGGGACATTCTACACGCGTAATGCACGTTTTTATGGTTTTGCCATATATGGTAGTCAGCCATAACATCAGTGATGACAATATAAGAGATATCATTCAGCGGCACACGACTATATCAATGTCCACAGTTCCAGACTATTAAAAATAGGGCGGGGTTGGTACACTGTGGAACCACAGCTGCTCGTCTGTCGCCAAGAACTCCTTGTATCCAGAGTAAATGTGTGCAGTGTTGACATTGTGTCAATGTGTGACAAACTGTGTGAAGTAAGAAAGGCGGGATGCCGACATTTTTGCCCACACATAGCCGTGTCTTAACTTACTTTATCAACAAAGTTATTCACTACAGTAACTGCAGACGCTACTTTGACATTATTTAGAGATTCGTGTGGCTCATCGATCATTCGATGGCAATGAAATGTTGATATCGACTTAGAATCACGGGACCACGCTGTCGTAATGTTTGGGTCAACAAGCAGGTCAATGTTGCTGCATGTCACTTTCTTGCCGCCCCGATCCACAATGTCGTAAACCTTACCAACAGTTCCACGTTGATACTACGGAGAACTCATGGGTTACAGTCATTGCTACTGTTCAAGTACTAGTATCCGGAATTGGGAATCTGTTTCCCCGTAATACTGTAAACTACACTGTGAAAGAAGGGGAGGAAGTGGAGGTCACGTACACAAAGCAAAGTCCTAAACTGACTCTGATTTGCAATTTGTCGTGATCGACAGAGCCACCAAGTCGACAAAAACGAATTATTATACTGTTGAATGTAAAATAGCAATAGAACAGTTCATAACTAGAATGTTTATGCAACACCAAGACATGTAAACAGTAGACCCCTGCCAACAAGGCAGTTTCTAAAACGTCACAGTGGAGTAAAAATCTGATTCCAAAATGTATCCATTTGGCAACTGTAGCTTCTGTACAGTATGTTATGTTACAGCATGATGAAGTCAAATGATATCCATGCTTACCTGAGTAGGGTGAGTTCAGATACCAGTCAACCACCTCACAAGTACTCGAGAAAATTGCGCGCCTTTTGAGAAGTTTTGGCGCAAAGTTTTGGCGGATACAGGGTGTGTTCTGTTTGCGACTGCGCACTACGGATTGATTAATCACTAATTGTTAAATATTTACCAACATGAGTCGTCGGCGTCATGTGAGAAAAGCTCTTGCCAAAATATACCCACCGACCTCAACACACAATAAAGAGACAATTTTGCTTGTTTGAAAATCCAGGTTGCAAATTTGCAAACAGTTTCCTGTGTTATTAGTCGTGATAAACTTTGTGGATACCAGAAGTAAACATGTGTCGTTATGTAAAGTCTTATCTTTAGAAATCTTTAACTGGGCACACGTCCAAACCAGCATTCACTCGAAAAAAATTAACCGTACGGTAGCTAACAGTACAATGATCAGGAGTAAACAAGCCTGCATAAACTTGACTGCGACACACGGAAAAGATTTGTACAGGTCATCGTTTGTAAAAATGTTGGAAAAACAAACGAGCTCAAAGAAAAAATCTTCATTTGGCAATAATAATAATAAGTTTTCAAATGGGTTTTCGTAACATTGCGCATAGAGGACAATGTATATGTAGAAAGAATCGAATGAAATTTTACAATGTTGTGAGCAGAAAACGTTATGGCGCCATTTTCTCACTCTGTGTGGTCCTCGTGTTCCACCTGTAGGAGTTAGTGCGTGCAGTTACCATCAAAACAGCTAGACGTCGCATTTAGCACCAGCAAACAAGCACTTGTATCGTCATGCGTACAAACAGGTGGCAGAACGGATAAAAACCATGCTAACGCATGAAAACCAAATCGTGCGAAACGCATTACCAGAGTCACGAGTTGCAGTGTCCTCTACGTTTAACTTTATGAAAATCCAATTCGAATTTTTCATTCTTGGTGCCAAGAGTTTTTCTGTGATCTCACCTTGTTTTTGTGCAGGCATTATGATTACAAATGACGCCGTAAATCTTCCGTGTGTGCACAGTCAAGTCCACGCAGACTTGTTTACTCATGACCATTGTAACTTTAGTATAGTAAATTATTATCCAGAGAATGCGGCGTTGAACGTTCGGTTAAAGATTTCTCAAGATAAGACTCATTTCGTGTTTTCCAACTTGACCTCTGACCTCCCAACAAACTCTGCGCATAAACTGTCATATTCAATGTACTTATCTATGTAATTGTAGGATTTTAATGAAAGTTAGAGTGGATTGTTTAATTGACTTTCTTGCTTATGAGCTTAACTTGATTATAACCCTCACTTGCAGTGCGCAATCGCAAAAAGTGCACACCCAGTTATAGTTCCCATGAAAAGTTTCCGCCAAAACTTCTCTAAAAGCGCGCAAGTTTGTGTCTTCTACACTGGTGAAGAGGTCAATATTTGTACTCAATCTACTCAGGTAAGCACGGCTGTCATTCAACTTCATCATACTATAACATAGTATGCTGTGTAAAAGTCACAGTTACCAAAAGGAGCACATTTTGGAATCATTTATACTCCACTGCGATGTTTCTAGAAACTGCTTTGTTGACATAAGTCTAACGAATACGTGGCTTGTGTATGCATTACATTAAAAATCACTTTCCGCGGAGTGTACACTCGTATCAGACTAATACACGGCTATACCCGTCTAAGTTACGATACCAGTAGCCATGGCTGTAACACATAAGTGTTCTCCTTTGTATCAACGTGTAACTGTTGACATTTTATGACTGTACATGTGTTCAACTTGATCGGTTAGTAGCAAGGAAATGACGTTCAAGTGTACATTGACCTGCCAGGAGTTTGTTGACCGGTGACCAAACATCAAGACTGCGTCATTGCGTAATTGTGATTGTATGTCGATATACACATTTCGTTACTATATACGGTCATTGGTGAGCGAGCTACACGAATAGCTACAGGAATAAAGTCAATTTAGCTCCTGAAGACAGTGAAGAACTTTGTGGATAATGTAAGATACATATGTGGGCAAGATGTCGGCTTCCCGCCTTTCTTGTGTTAATTTGTGACAGTTACGCATTGCCACAATGTCAACATATTACACACATTGGCTTTGGCGTTCAACAGAACAGCTGCGGTCCCATGGTGTACCAGACCCGCCCCTTTACAAATACTTGTAGTCGTGATCCGCTGAAACATATCTATTCGATCGTTATCACTGCCGCGTTACACTTGACAAACATGACTTGCAAAACAACATTAAGGCGATGTTACAAATTGCACGGAATGTCTATAGTTTAAGCGAGTAGGAACCATAAACAGAAGCTCCATGAATAACATTAAGGGGATGTTACAAATTGCACGGAATGTCTATAGTTTAAGCGAGTAGGAACCATAAACAGAGGCTCCATGAAAACGTGTATTATGCGAGCAAATTGTCCCTTCTACAATATATAAATATCTTGACATAACTATAGACGATGGAAAACTTGCCAAGGCTTATCCCTTATATCAACATTCAAATACGAAGTATATATAATGGTGAGAAAAGGTTTCCGGGAGTTAACGTTACAAGATCTTACAAATTTATTCTTTTGATGAGATATTCCAGAATGTCTATAATATATTTCGCTTGTGCTATTTTTAGGTATAACAGTGTTACAGGTGTACATGGGAATTGTGGCATTGTTACCTCCATGAAAAATGGAGGTATTGTTTTGTCTGTCTATGTTTGTGTGTGTCCGCAGCTGACGTCACAGCTAAAGAGTTTACCAAGGCCATGTTGCTCCAAAGGGCAGATGGCATCAGTGACAAGGCCCCTTTGTTTGCTCTCCAAGCAGAGGTTGAATGGGAAGATTGTGACCTTTTTCTATGCCCCGTTTTTTCGAGATCTGACAGCCGGCCCATCCATCGGTGGCCGGTTGGATACTGTCGGCCGCCTGGATACTGTCCGCGTGTTGGATACTATCTTTTTTGGCCACCAAAAGATCTGCTTGTAGATTACCTTTGTTGACACTAGTGAAACTGCCTTTCAGTAGCCGCCGTGTTGACCTCAAGATCAGGTTGTTGTCAGTCACAACACCTGTTGAATTGAAAACTTGCCAAAGGATGGTGGGGGCCGTGTGAGGTAGAGGCAAAGTGCTCGACTCGGAACCAAGAGGTCCCGGGTTCGAGTCCTTACATGACATGCAACCGATCTTGTGCCCTTGGGAAAGGCACTTTATACGACTTTCCTCACTTCGCTAAGGTGCAATTTTTTTTTTGTAGTAGAATGGTTTATTTCAAAATTGCAAACTCCAGACATACACAATTTCAATTACCACCACACTGACAACAGACTCGCAGGCAGCCATAATGGCTGCCTGAATTGCTCTGAGGTCACAAAAATATCATTAAAATATGGGTATTATTATTAAAACATTATTACTTATTATTAAATATTGTTAAAATTTATAAATCGTAAAATATTCCTCTGCTATAGAAAATGGATTGATAATCAATATACATGTTTAAAACGTTACACAGTAAAAAAGGTAAAAAAGGTTCGGTGAGAGGCTGTTGTACAACATTAGCAACAGATTACTCTTACATTGCCGTTTCAGAGTTATTCAGTAACTTAACCATGTATGGTAGTGCGCTGTTTCTAAAGCGTTCGGTTCTTGTTCTAAAACAGTCAATCTGGTTACTGGACCGTGTTGTACGTCCACTGATGTCCCCACGGCGGGGAGGGAACCAATGCCGGTAGTCGGGAGATTGTAAGAGTTTTCTGGCAAAAGTCAAGCAGAGGTGGTCTCGTCGTCGCTCCAAAGGCTCGAGGCCAAGTAGGAGACAGGCGTCAGCATAGTTAGTGTAGTTTTTGCCAAGGATAGTTCTGACGGCACGACGTTGGATTCTCTCCAGCTGGTTACGTTGTGCTTGTGTAAGGCCTGGATGCCACGCTGGTACTGCGTACTCACACACTGGTCGGACGTAGCTAGTGTAGATTGTGAGTAAGTCCTCTATAGATAATCGGAAAGTCTTCAGTTTTCTGAGTATAGGAACAGCCTCGTGCCGCCTTTCTTCACCATGTAGTCTACATGAGCGTCCCATTTGAGGTCTGCTTGCAGGTGCTTGCAGGTGCAAGCCCAGTAACTTCGCCACTTTAAAATTGTATTGTCCCCTGTGTTTGTGGCGACATTAATATAAGTTGAAAAAACTTGAGGGTGCCGTCACTACGTCTTGTGATTGCATGTTGGAATTCAAATAAAAAGGATGATACAGGACTTTCACATACAAGATTTGGGCAATTTCAGAAAACCAGAATTTGAGAAAACCATAATGATAAATCAAAATAGATTTTGCTAATTGCAATCTTATTTATATAGACAATGACACAAATTCCCAAGAAATATTTACGAAAGCTCCAAATATTTATACCTCCGAATTCTTGTTTTTTCCCAGGATCTAAGTGAAGGGCAAAATAAGGATGGAAGGCAAATCTCAACGCCGAACTTCTGTCAATAATGCCGTGAGTAGCCATTATCTATGTCTTTTTCATTAGAGTTATATCGCGTAACTTTGTATGCGCCATAAGAAAAAAACGCCCCCCCCCCCAAAAAAAAAGCCAGTCAAAGAGCCTACTAAGGTGGCATGAAGTTGAACGTACATGCATGCCATTGACCCATTTGAAGAGCGTATGTTTCGAACATTGTTTGAGTGTGTATGCAGTGACTAAAGTTTAGGGAAGGTTACACCACCAGTGCACATTACTGCTATTGAACCTGCAAAGTGTATTCTAACATAGAGTCGTACAAAGGAGCCATAGGTTTGTATACAACATCAACATACCTCCTCATGGCCTACATTTACTTTCCAGTAATGGATATGATCTAATTAGTACGTTTGCGATAACCTCTGCGCGTGCGATGAAAAGGTTGGTGGAAAGGCAAACATTTCAAAATGTTCCCAGATACATGTACGTGTGGACGTTTAAAAATGACCTTTTTTTCCATTATTTTAACGAATGAGAAATAGGGTATCTATCTCTTTGTATTTGTACTTAATGACAATAAAACAAATCATTACAAGGATCAGCAGAGAGTGTCTGAATGTCTCGGTGTTTGGTGATCTTTACATAGGGCTAGAGGGCAGTTAGAAGACAGCCACCACCACCCACCACCCCATCAAAGAAGGTTATGACACATGAACATGTTCATGAAGTGTAATGGCTGTACTACCGTTGAGCAACCAACATGGATTTGTGTGGGGCCCCTGATTTAATAATTAGACGGTATTTTGGTGTGATTTGAAAGACAACAAAACACACACATCGTTTAAATTTCCGTTCTTTATATATGTAATTCGTAGAGCAATCATGTCAATTTTTTGTCGCCAGCATCAAATCAGTCACAGCGTCTAGTGGAAAGGGGGTGATAGCCTGTGAACCGGTCTATAGTATGAGTATGGTACGAAACTAGAAACTACCCTGATGTTATCTTACAAAGTATTGTGCAAACTTCAGTTATTTGGATTTACAACCCACCCATAAGCTACATGTTTGGAAAGTGGTTTGTGGTCCTAGCTGTACTCAAAAAGTATTTTAGTGACGCATGGCTGGTGACCCGAAAAAAAACAGGCACATTCAAAGCGTACGTATCGAGGGGTGTTCCCTTTGAAAGGACAGATGGGTGGGTGACTAGGTGGGGTATCCGGTGACACTCGCAAGGTGTGGCGGGAACGCACTCCTGGAAGAGACATTCATGATCAGTGGCGGTACCAAGGGGAGTTAAGTCAGATCCTTGCAATCCTGACACACGCTGGAAACTCTGTCAACCCTCCTGTTGTCCTATCGGGCGCTAGTCGCTGCCCGAACCGACGCTCCAGACAGCCTCTATATTGTCCCAGGTGTGCGCACCAATTACAGGACCCACTTCACTTGGAGAGTTCAGTCACTGCCGGTGGCTCCCGGTCTGAAATTTGGAGTTGACTCACACCTGGACACCGTCTGACATTTAGAGGAGAGACCACCTTTCGAGTTCAACATGGCAGACGACAAACGGGAAGAGAAGGTGCTGTTTCTTTAAGTTTCCTTACACTTTAGTCGTACCTACAATTTCTTGCGCCGGATGGCCTATTTACCCCCCTTGTGCATTGGTATACCTATATATAGAGTATCAAATGGGCATTGTGAGAAAAAATGGCGGCCTGACTATAATTAGGACCTTCCGGCAACGCTACAACGTTGAAACACTCTTATGTTCTACACCTGTGAAGTTGCTAATGTACTTGGTTTGTTCGACTAGCGCCTAGGTTTTCCGAATTTAACGGTAGTTTCTGTATGTCGTGATTTGAGATAGTTTTCAGCAGGGATATCATACAATAGGCTAGTGTTACTCCTACTTGATTTTCAAGGACGCCGTGAAATGTCTGAGATTTTTAGGGAATTCTTTTTCAGCATTGTTTGGTTTTAAGAAATATGAGAAGGCTTTCGTCGGTCCTGTAGTGACCACTTGTAGTTCTTTGTAGAACCTGTACATTTCAAACAGACTGTGTGTACCGAGCCAGGACATACCACAAGTTGATTAGTCGGACTTCAATTACCTATAGGATCAGCGTAAGAAGATTAAAAGACAGACAGACTCCCACTCAAAGCTCAGGGGTACGCTCCGTCAATGATATATGTGTAAACCTTCACTTCGGTTCTGTGTTGCCTGGAAACTACGAGTGGACTTCATATTTGTCTTTTCCTTGAAGTAAGTGGTTGCATCATCTTTTGTTTAACCGAGGCCGACGGTGCGATATTGGCGTCTCCTTTTCCAAGGTGTTCAAACGAGATATTTATCAAGATAAACACAGTGCCAGGGCTAGTCTGGTATCCAGAGAACCGTACTAGCAGACCAGCTGAACTAGTTCTCCCCTCACGACCCCTCGTAAAGTTACATATACCGACATTTTACGACACACTAAATCATATACTACCTACAATTACTTCGTTTTGTTTTGCACGACTGCCTTAGGTAATTGTGTTCACTGACAGCTTTTAGAAGTGTGGAATCAGGCATTTTTGGTTTACAGCTACGGGTTTATACCAACGGAAGCTATAAAGCAGACACTGTTGACGTACACGTCCCCCAAAGTAGTCTATTGCTAACAAAATGTTTGCAGAAGGGAGACACAAGCTGCATCTAGTAGATGCCGTTACGCATCGGGTAAAATATCAATTAGTTTTGACGATCTTCAAATTTTACGACAACTACAAGCATGGAGTTAGAAGGAATAACAAGTAGTTCTTGAATTGTATATACATTGTATTCTTTTGAAAGATAACGTAACATCTGAATAATGTAACCATGTTTTTGTGGTTTCCTTGCCAAGATGCACCGATTATCAAGACAAAGCTTTAGTATAGGTGACATTCCACAGGTTCACGTCACTGTTGTAGGTGTGTTCTGAAACATACCCCCAGGAGTTATAATCCAGCCGGTTAAAGCGCTGCCCAACTGTGCACAGGACAATAGAAATCATGGCATAATGATTTCTACCAACACAGATGAACTTTCAAGATAAAATCGCGGCTTGTGTTCCTCAAAATGCCACGTTTTGATCAGGACACCAAGAACGTGTTTTAATAAGGCACTTGCGGCCTGATTTTCAGGCTGTCTACTTTGACGATTTCATTGGAATCAAAAGCCGCTAACAGCTGAGTTTAGTTTTAAATAAAACCAAGGAGGTTAAGTATATGCTTGTATTTAACCTCCTTGATAAAACGACTTTAGTGGACCGTAGTTTGCAACCGTCCCCATTACCCTTTCAAGGTTTGTCCCCAGGCTATATGTATGTTTTGTAAACGCCATGGTTCAATAGTGTACGAAAGTGAAAAGTTCACTCCTTTGCTTTTAAGTATTCTGTACATGGCCGTCACGTTGTTGTGTGTGTTTGTGGAGGGGGGCGACCTCAGGTGACCAGAGGTGCCATGTAGTCCGTGCTTACACCTGAGGTTACCCAAGAAGGGGGTCACATCTCTAAATTCTACTCACACAGGTAAACAGCCATGCCCCAAACACGTCAGAGGGGGTGACACAGGAAACCGTACCGACAAACAGAATGATACGTGATCTGCCATCCGCTTAGACCATTCGAGGCTCTTCCAGGGGGTTGATAAAGCACAGGAGAAACGCGAAATGTTGTTAGACACTCCCATGTCGTTGCGTGTACCCTACCTGTAACCACATGCTGTTCTTTGTGTTTTCTGGCAAGAATCTAAACAAACATGACTGAAACTTGAGGAACCTGACTTGGCTCTTTCAGGGGGTTGATAAATGACAGGAGAAACGCGAAATGTTGTTAGATACCTGTCCATATTACACTCAGGTCGTTGCATGAACCCTACTTGAACCACATGCTGTTCTTCGTATTTACTAGCAAGAATCTACACAAACATGACTGAAACTTGAGAAGCCTGACTTGGCATGCCCAGTGCCGCAGGCTTCATTCCGTGGGTATTATGTAACAGACTAACGAAATGAAAACCAAGCATTCGTCAATTCTACTTGAAACGAAGCGTTTTGTTTACAGGCCTAGGGTTACAGGGGTTGGAGGAGTGGGTTGCAACATCGTTCAACGAGGCATGCGCGACATATAAAGGGGAAAATATAACTTGAACAAACTAGACCTTGAATTCAGACGCCATAGTAGCAGTCGACGTTTTATTTAGTCACTAAACACATTTATTATGTTGATCACACAATTGATTTGCCTCAACATACTTTTCGATAACCACGTTGTTTTCAACTTTTTCATGGGTCATGCATAAAAAAAATGCCCGAATCAGCTCATTCTGCTCTTGTCCAAAACCAAGCTTCCAAAATAAATGTTACTCACCAAGCAGATGTTTGGGTTTGGGCTTATTTTGGGCGTGTTTTAGGCTTTTTTGGGGGGGGAGGGGCTTTGTTTTTTTTGCACTGGTATTTTTTTTCGCCAACGGTTAGCGTAAAAACATAACAGTGCAAAAAGGAAAGCCCGATAAACAAGCCTCAGAATATTTTAAGAATAAGGTAAAACCCAAACCTCTGCTTGGAGAGAAATCAATGAAATGAAAACCTATAGAATACCTATCAGTGAATATATGAAGATATTAACTGTCTGCTTGTGTTTCCCTGTATAGGAGGAGCCCCCACCCTATGACCGGCCCTCCGACATTATGTACTCTATAGAGGAGGTCCCACCGTGGTACATGTGCATCTTCTTAGGATTCCAGGTAATAGATAACACCCGGGTGTGAGAATTCTCATTGGCTGAAAGTTGGTCACATATATTATCTGGCCACTCGAACAAAATGGTTTATATATTATTCCACGTGTGCATAGCAGTACCGGATATATATTGTACAAGTGCGCTGTGTGATATCATCATATTCGGCCTTTTTTTCTTCTTAAGAAACCACTATATGGCAACACAAGAGGAAGAACTATGTTACATCAGTTTGTATTCTAAATTATACTAAATGCCAATGATCATGCAAGCATTCGAGTATTTCATTTTAGTGAAATACATGTATTGCTACCTTCGCCAAGAAGGTTATGTTTTCAGGGGCGTTCGTGTATGTGTGTGTGTGTGTGTGTGTGTGTGTGTGTGTGTGTGTCTGTCTGGCTGTCAACACGATAACTTGAGAAGGCCTTGATGGATTGTCTTGATACTTGGTAGATGGGTAGGTCTTGATGAGACCTCAAAATGATTAGATTTTGGACCCCCTAGCGGCTTGTTATGGTACTGCAGCTGAACTTCCGGTTTTGATATCTCAAGATCCAGACATGCTATGGTGATGAAATTTGAATGGTAGGTAGCTCTTGTGCTGGGAAAGAAGTGACGTGAGTTTAGGAACCGATTGATGGATCATCGTGATTTTTGGTATGTAGGTAGCTTAAGTGATGCTTGACATAATGATATTACAATTATGCGAATATTGATGTAATTTGCATAATTAATGAGGAAATTCTATAAATCAGCTGCATTCCATGATAGGAAGTTCAAGCTTGTAACATATGTTATTAAGAACAAATATTGATTATGCAAATGAAGACTTAATTTGCATAATTAATGAGAAAATGTTATAATTGCGTAGTGGTAACTGCCTGGAATTTCATACCTGGGGTGTTTGAAAGTTAAGTGAAGCCTGAACATAATTAAACATAACTTATTCAAATAAGGACCACATTTGCATAATTTATGAGAAAATGGCATTCTTTGTTAAGATAAGACTGTCTTTTGGTGGAGAATATGATCAACAGACTGATATAATTCATGCAATTGAGGATCCTATTTGCATAATCAGGGTGATTAGTATATTTCTTATTCATAAAGGCTAACATCATTTGGCGAAGGTATGAGATCGTGGAACTCTAGTTACTCATTGAAACCGAAGATTAAAACGTATTTACACTTACAATTATAGGGATATAAATTCCACATATTATGACGATATGAAGTACAATGTCAAGAGCTATTTCGTGTCAAACATCTACAGCTTTTGAAAACCAAACTGAATTGTTTGTACTTCCACGTGGCTCTCCATGTTTAGCACTACCTGACGATGTTCGGTGCGACTGTGTCGCTGCCCCTGATCCTGTCAGGCCCGCTGTGTATTGGGAACAACAGCCTGGCAACCAGCGAGCTCATCCAGACCACCTTCTTTGTGTCCGGCATCTGTACCCTCCTGCAGACGACATTTGGAGTCAGGTAAGCCTCAATCAGCACGAAAACTCACACGCCATGTTTCCTTTGCCTCCTGTGCAGGCCACCAACGTTTAATTGAATTACCTGGCGGTAAAAATCAAGAGACGGCCGTTATAATTAATGCCTGAGTTGGATGGAAGTATGGTTCATTATGGTTTAATAGAAAAAAACCTTCAAAATGTGTATGTGTGGTGTAAATCTATATGTTTATTGAGTTACCCTTTTATTGATGCAGATTTGAGACCATTGTTGCTTGTGCTCGTTAATTTAACAAAACGCGGTATCAAAACGCCCCCCTGAGGCCTGCACGGCAGGCGCCATTTCTTCAGAGCGCCTATCGATATCAGCAAATCCAACGTAAAAATCCCTCCGCTCCTGAGGCGTCGCCAAAAATACCCCCATCTATTACTTAGTAATAAGACTCGTAATTATATTTCCGACTTTGCTGTGTCCTAACAAAACGTGACCAAACTGTTACAAACTGTACCATTATAGTACGTAGTCAAATTCCTGAGCACTGAAATCGAACAGGTTTAGTCACAGTTGTTAAACACAGGCATCCCGCTGTGATACTTCCGCAATGAGTCTAATTATAGGTTATTAGGAGAAATCCTTATTTCTTTGAGTATAGCTCCCTCAAGTTAAGTTTATTTTGTTGGGTGCAACTACAATCAATCATCCATCCACAAGTACAGAGTCTCCAAAATATACTATTTGTGACACCCAGTGAATAACAACAATGACCTAACAAAATGGTCGGTGGGAACACCATTCTTAGCCCGAGGGCTAAACGTATTTTATAGACATCTAAGTGCTGAATAGCACTTGTGTGCGGGGATTAAAAGTGAAGCCCTTGAGTTGTCCTTCTATCTTGGATAGTTGTTGCCATTTCTTTATGTTGTTTTTTGATAATCTGAATTTCTTCATTTCACATCTGCTGGGATGTTACATGCAAAGCCAACACAACACATTGTGTTTGTTGGTTTAACTCGTTTAACCTGTCTTTATAGAGCTTTCTGTTGACGTTACCCCCAATTAGCAGAGGTCTTTCTGTATAGCAGTCTAATGCATTCGTGGATGCATTCTTAGTATAAACAGAAATACATCAAAGATTCTGTCATTATCTTGTATATTCCGTCAGTCTAATACATTGGATTATTCCTGGTAGCTCCATCGATCCTTCTTTCTACTCTCCAAGCAAGATTGTGTGACCTTTTTATAATATGCTCCGGTTTTCAGACGCTACTCCCCACCAACCTCTGCAATTTATCCTCTCCATAATGCCGATTTATCCCTACTAAGCTGCTATCGATGTGTGGTCTAGTTTCCCATGAGTATTTACGTTATTCGGTATAAGCTCTTTATAATCCCTGTGAAAGTTGAAACTCCCCAATTTCACCTACATCCAGCGATGTACGTAACAGATCAGAGTGTTTACAAGTTTTCGACAATTGCGCCCCACCCCCTCGAGCTCCTTCTCGCACTGTTTCTCACCTTAAAGATCCTTAAAGGGTCTAAAATATTTCAAGTGGCTGTTTTCGAAAAGACCATGGCCAGAAGCAAGAGATGGTATTTGCCTTGTGGGTAGGGGTCACCTTGGTAGATTAGGATCTTGTTGACTCAGTACACAGTGATTATAGACGGCCAAGATACGGGTGACCTAGTAAATGGCGGAGACTCTTTTGAATTCCATTGTTTTACACCTAACCATAGACGACTTGGCGCGGAGGTTATCTTTTCACAAGCGTTTGTTTACTAATTGCTGATCGGTTGGTTGGTTGGTTGGTTGGTTGGTTGGTTGGTTGGTTGGTTGGTTGGTTGGTCCCCTGATCTTCCCCCCACTCGCAGCCCTCCCTGATCTTCCCCTCCCCCCCAGTCGTACGACCAGTCGTCACAGGCGTAGCCCTCCCTGACCTTGCCCCCACTCGTAGCCCTCCCTGATCATTGCCCCCACTCGTAGCCCTCCCTGATCATTGCCCCCACTCGTAGCCCTCCCTGATCATTGCCCCCACTCGTAGCCCTCCCTGATCATTGCCCTCACTCGTAGCCCTCCCTGATCATTGCCCCCACTCGTTGCCCTCCCTGATCTTGCCCCCACTCGTAGCCCTCCCTGATCTTGCCCCCAAATGATTTTTTCGAGCGTTGCGTAGCGAAAATCCGGATGGTACCCAGGCTATGGGCAAGTACTTTCATGAGGACTTCAAATAGTGTATTTAAGCATGTGTTCCTATGGACAAATCTAATAGTACTGTCTGCCCTGGTCTTGCCCCCACTCGTAGCCCTCCCTAAAAAATTAACACGATGTGCCGTTTCACAGGCTTCCCATCGTGCAAGGCGCGACCTTCGCTTTCCTGACCCCGACTTTCGCCATCCTCAGCCTGCCTGGCTTCGCCTGCCCCACGGTCCTGGGCTCCGGTACGTGAAGGTTAATCGTATAGTAGGGGTGTTATCGCATTTATGCACCATATAGAAATTTTGACTCTCCTTCTGGTAAATTAATGGGGTAACCCGGTGTTATTTATATAGAAAAATGACTCTTGGTAGTATAATGGGATAGAAATTTCAACCTATAGCTATCCCATGTAAAATTAGTTTTTTAAGACAATACTTTTTAGTGCTAAATAAATGAGATAGATAACCAAAGCTGTACCTTAGGACACTCTAGAATCATATTACCCAATATTCTTTTAATTACATCGACATTTCATGTATATATTGGTACATATTTGAACGTTTCCTGTTTTCCTATCCTTCAGTAGAAAACACCAGCTTGATCACGATCCAGGTAGATGAAAACACAACAGCAAATGTGGACATGAACGAGCACTGGAGAATCCGGATCAGAGAGGTACAACTAGAAGTTAATTTTGAAGCTGGAGTTGAATCATAGATAGTACGAACTTGAACGATGTACGAGGCCTAGATGGACGTTCAAGTTCCATAACGTGGTTCACCAAGCTTTTTGCATGTTGAAAAGGTAATATATTATCTCATTTACAGATCCAAGGCGCCATCATGGTGTCCTCCATTTTCCAAGTCGTCATCGGTTTCAGTGGACTGATGGGACTGATGCTGCGGTTCATAGGCCCCCTGGCGATTGCTCCGACGATTGCACTTGTGGGACTGGCCTTGTTCGAAGAGGCCTCATCGCAGGCAGGAAAACACTGGGGCATCGCTTTTCTGTAAGTTGCTTTAGCTTTATGTTGTTTGAGCTGATCTTTAGGGGAAATGTTGCCATTTCCATCCTTGGGCATTTTCATAAGGACACAGCAAGTCATATTCATGGATGACATCAGCCTGCGAATTAATTTTCGCCTAACTTGGGGGTGGACAAGAAATTTTGTTGATCTCTGACAGTGATCAACATGCCGAAAATGCTCAATGATGCCTGTTGCCATGCCGTAACGTCGATAGCAGATAAATATGAAAAGACAAGGCTCTGATTTATTGAAGTTTTGTCTTTTGCTTTGATGCAGTGATGTAGGATTCCATTACTTTTATGTGTGATGGTGGCAGTGTATATGTGATGTTCCCACTGAAGCAAAATGATTTGTACAATGATTGAAAACGTCTCTCCACAGCACCATCGCCCTGATCGCCATTTTCTCCCAGTACCTCCGGAACATTAACTTCCCCGGAGCGAAGTGGAGCAGGGAGAAGGGCTGTCACGTGGCGTGGTTCCCTCTCTTCAAGCTCTTTCCGGTCAGTTGAAGGTCACTGATGAAATGAACACTAATTCTTTTTAAATTTCATTTAGTCAATCGATTTCTACAGTTATAACAGTATCCAAACTAAATTTGTTCTTGGACTCTCTGTGTGTGCGTGTTGACCTTGGGCGACATAACTTCGGAACTCCAGGCACCCAAAAGGCACCCAAAGCTATTTCAGGGTAGAAAAAACTGGATTTTCATAATCAATTTTCTGGGCATTTTTTAAATGTAGTAAGTAGATTTAACCCTATACCATAGCAAACTTATATATGTGAAAGAATAATGTGATGCGAAACTGCTGCTTGTTTTGTATCGTAGGCTGGTTGTAGCTATTTATTGGTGATACCAAAAATAAAGGGACGCCTACTATAACGTAGCTTGTTTGGGGGCTATTTCAAACATTTGATGTATGAAATAAAAAATATGTTAGTAATGGCGGTAAATGTCAATATCAGACAGATGTTCTTATCCAGAATATATTTTTTGTTTTGTTTTGTTGCTCTGACAGTGCATTAGATGCCTTTAATAAAACAGTATTCCTACGCTTTTTTTCTACAGGTGATTCTGGGGATGTGCGTGTCCTGGGCGTTCTGTGGCATCCTGACGGCAGCGAACGTGTTCCCCACCGACCCTACCGACCCTCAACACAGCGCCCGAACCGACAACACTGCAGTACTGTACCAAGCCGCATGGTTCCGCTTCCCCTATCCAGGTCGGTGCTACAAACGTATTCGTTAGTGAGGTGGTAGCGACGTGGTTAAGACTCGGTTTTACAGCGTTTAGCTTTTACAAATCTTGAACCATATGCATCTATGTAACAATCAGTCACGGCAAGAGCATAACTTAGCATTGTGCTAAAGTACCAGGTATGGCCAAAATTCTTTTTTGCTTCTATGGACTATAGCTAGGTTCTATATCATTTAAATTTATCATAAATGTCTTTCCAGGCCAATGGGGCTAATAGGTGTATGTGCCTTTATCAGTCTCGGCAAGCAGATAAAGTTAGCATTATTAACCAGCATACTAGAAGCATTTGTTTCAAGCTAGGTTCTATATCAAGAAAAGCGTTAAATTTATCATGAATGTCTTTCCAGGACAGTGGGGCAGACCTACAGTGAGTATCGCCGGGGTGTTCGGCATGTTGTCCGGCGTGCTCGCCTCCATGGTGGAGTCCGTGGGAGACTACTACGCGTGTGCGCGCCTGTCCGGAGCCCCGCCCCCTCCCGTCCACGCCATCAACAGGGGGATTGGGATTGAGGGGATTGGCTGTATCCTGGCTGGCGCCTGGGGCTCAGGCAGCGGCACCACGTCTTACAGTGAAAACATCGGGGCCATCGGAATCACCAAGGTATGCTGACTAAACGTGGTGGGTTGAAGGCATATAGTAGCCTGGGTTCCATCCTGGTTAGTTTACGTCCGCTCCTACAGTCGCTACCACCAACTAGGAGCGGACGTAAACTAACCAGGATGGAACTCAGGCTAGGCATATAGAGGTCACTGGCCTCCATATCTTCATACCACGAAGCGTAGTCAACAGATCACTACTAGCATTTTGTATCCATTACTTTTTTTCGAGGGCTGTACTAGTTTTATTGATACATAATTATCTTGTTTTGTAGAAACAGATACGTACGTAAAGAGCAATCGGCACCACTTTCCTTTTTTTCACCACTTTTCGGAATTTCGATGGAAATGTTTTGGACGAAAAAGTAAAGAGTAAGGAAAGAAAAGGAAATGAAGAGAGGAGGGCAAAGTACGTCTTCTTCTTGAGCGAGAGAAGTGGCATCACCCCTGTTTCCACCCACACCACCCCCTCCCCCAGGTCGGCAGCAGACGTGTTGTCCAGGTCGGCGCCATGATGATGCTGGTTCTCGCCATGTTCGGCAAGTTCGGCGCGCTGTTCACCACCATCCCGGAGCCCATCATCGGCGGCATGTTCTGCGTCATGTTCGGCATGATCGCAGCCGTCGGCATCTCCAACTTACAGGTCAGAGTAATATCCAAGATCTTTCGGTGCCGCGAAAGACTATCAAATTGGTCAGGCAGTGTCCATTAGCCAGAGGGTTTTCCATAGGCCACTCCTCTGGCCAATGGATACTGCCCTGCCACCGTATGATCTGCTCGGAGATTAGGTCAGACGTCACACTCACAACCGGTTCACGATGTAACGCCAAGGCATGAATAACATCAGCTCCGCCCCTACGGCGTTGCCAAAATATTTTCATAAGGATCGTACAAGGCTCTAAGGCTATACGAATGGCAAATGATAAAGAGAGTATAAAACGTTGCATTGGAAGAATTATTTCAGCATAACCCTTGAGATTATTATCTTCCACAATCTTGTTTCAAGTGTGGAATACATAAAACGATTAGACATTACTACAACATTACTACAGATGTATGAACATATCTATATACAGATCATCTATATACAGATTCACAGTGTGTAAGTAACGTTATCCAGTCGTAATGAACCGTTTGATGCCGTCTCCATTGCAGTACGTGGACATGAACTCGTCCAGGAATCTCTTCATCTTCGGCTTTTCCATCTTCTTCGGACTGCTGCTGCCACAGTGGATGAAAGAACATCCTGGGATCATCAAAACAGGTAAGGGGTGAGAAGGGGGATGTTGTAAACGAGTGTATGTTCAAATTCTGGAAACACATAAATACTGCTGCAGCCATGTTTTTTTCACATTTTGGTTAGTTTATACGTAGTTTGTGGTGGGCTGTTTAAGCTCCAAACGCATACATGTCAAAAATGCAAGAGAATTGCAAAAATATGTTAAAAGTGGAAGTAAATTATTAATTATAATAGTAAGAAATTATAGTATATTTTTCTTATTAAAATATTTTACCTTTTTTACCTCCTCCAGGTAGTACAGAAGTCGACCAGATCTTCACCGTGCTGCTGAGTACCAGCATGTTCGTCGGTGGCTTCGTGGGATTCTTTCTGGACAACACTGTTCCGGGTAAGACGTTGCAAAAAAAAAAAGTATTTTTAAATAAATTTATAAAATCTGTACAAATTACCTAACCGAATATACGATTTTCAAAATTTTTTTCAGTTTTCCTAGGAATAATGTAATTGGGGATTCAATTGGGGATGGTATAGGGCTTTTGAATGATCCCCAGATTTCTGAACCATACAACAAAATTGGTTTCGCACAGACGTCAAAGAGTTTGTTCGTAACAGGAATTGTAGTGTTGGCTTGGCGAAGGGCATTGGTTGATTCAAAAGAAGACTCTCAGATTATAATCAACTCCATCCTTGTATCCAGGTACGGATGAAGAACGCGGTATCGCCCAGTGGAAGAAGTTGAACGAAGCGTCCTTGAACATGAAGGGGTCTTCAAAGGGGGGCAACAAAGTCATGGAATGTTACGACTTTCCGTTCGGCATGGACTACATCCGCTCCTGCAACATCGGCAGGTACATCCCGGTCTGTCCCACCTTCTGTCTCCCGCCGTTTGGGTCAGGCGGGGACGAGGAGGAGCCCGAAGTAATCGAAAACCCCGTCGCTCTTGGGAGGGAAGCACGGGAGGCGCCTATGAAGTTAGCGCCTCTAGCGGAACAGGAGATAACTGCATTGTAATACTAGCATATATGCTGGAGACTCCAGCTTTCTTTCACTACTGGTTCGTAAACATTGTAAACGGCAGAATGAGTAAATAAAGATAATAAGTGATTATTTCATAAATATTCCTTTTATATACAACGTAGTAGCTAAATGATTGTGGTGATGGCTTACTGTTAACACTGTGAACGCACAACGCCCTGAATGAGTTATAACAGGGAGGCTGTGTTGAAAAGGGAATACGGATCTTTCTTTAACAATTTCTAATGACAATCAGTCATTGACTACTCAGTAACTAGTACGTTAGCAATTCTTCTGTCATATGTATATTGGTGATTGTACTTGGTTATAAATGTATATTGGTAATATTGTATATGAAAATGTATGCACCACTTAAGTTTACAATGGATGTTTACAACGTGATTGCACTGTCTCGTATATGCTGTAATTACAGAAAATTTTTATTTTAGCTTTCAAGAATGTACTGTGATATATGGACATTGAAATGAAAAATAAAGTTCATGTACGGTGGTGAAGGATTACAAACGTCGTCTCTTCTTTACGTGAAAGCACCTTATTCCTCCATGAAATGGCACCTCCACAAATCCCTTATTTTCAGACTGAACGTGTTGTGCTAGGTTGGGTGTTTTGAGAGTTGTCCGCATGGTGTCGCTTTTCAATCATCACTGCGGACAGCTCCAATGTCATTGACATATCAAGTTCACGACATGACAGGCATATTGACAAAGAGGCCGACACTTTTTAGACAATTGAGAGTCTAGTCAAACTGTAAAATGTATTCTTAAGATCACATATCTCATAATCAAAGCTCATAATTATGATTCAAACTAGGCTGTGTAGAAGTACGTCGTATTTCTCAGTATTACAAACTGTCACTGTTTTCAATACCTTCCTTTTTGTTCGAAGTGCATGTGCTGTATTCCTCTCTTCCATGAGACGTCTAAATCTAAGTGGTTTATACCTCATCGAAAATTACTGGACTATATACCACTATATATAGCGCTAATTACTACATGGTGCTAAACAAGCCCTGGCCCAAGGCAATGTTTTCTTTCCAACAGGTATCGACCTGCCATTTTGATTCTCGCGTGGTCATTCCGCAGACCACGTGCCTGACCCATATCTCACAGGGTGTCCACTTGACTAGAAATAAACACGTGCGGCTGGACACGTAGCGCACCGGACCACTGTACATACATGTGCCTCTGGACATGTCATGTGATGCGGCGCTCACACACGTACAGACTCGATATAACACTTTGTTTGTTTGTTTGTTTGTTTGTTTATTCGATCTTCAGTATAATCTCGCATTGTATAGACAATTGCATGTATATTATTGTGGCTATAATACGAATTTAGCAGAGATATTACATGCATGATGTTGAAATTATTAGTTCTTGTCTGACAAATATGGCGAGCTGACATGCTGATTTCGCTCACGTGACGGTGCGCAAATAGAACTTCTTCGGGCATGCACACACGTACTCTTATATAACATATGTGCACTGCTAGATATAAAGCTAGTGTCAATCAGGTATATCCTTGTACGACAATCTGTAGACTCTTGTGAGAGAACAATACGATTGATCACATCTTGAAGTAACAGGCCCCTGTTTACCACAGATGGTAAAAATAGACCGTTTTTTTCTGTTTGGTTGCGGCTATTTGCAGTGGTAACCTTGGTTCACCTGCTATCACATGCGCAAGTGTCGATACAACAATCTGTAAACTCTTATGAACAATACAAGAGATCACATCATGAAGTAATAGGCCCCACAGATGGTAAAAATAAACCCATTTGGTTGTGGCAATTTGCAATGGTTGACCTTAGTTCACCTGCCATCACACGCGCTGTACAGACAAACAAACATGACAGAAACGTTCTATGGTGTTGTGTGGGTTTAAGGCATCCAATGCAATTTCAAGGTGGCAAAACTGGATTTTCAAAGTCAATTTCTTCTTTGATGTTGCAAGTTGAAGGAATACTATCCCACAGCACACTGATACATGTGAGACAAAAGACGAATTCGCTGACGGAAAATGGTTTCTTGTTTTGTACCGTAGCTATTGGTTGACTGTTTTTTGCTATATTTGTGTGGTACCCAAAAAATAAAGATATGCCTCACGTAGCTTGTTTTTTTTTTGGGGGGGGGGCTATTTCAAATGCTTTAAGTATAATGGCAGTAAATTCCAATATCAGACAGATTTCCTCATCCAGAATATATTTTTTGCCACCATGAAATTGCATTGGATGCCTTTAAATAACGGAATGTCGAGTTGAACGTAAAACCCCGGAGTCTGGCTTCATCACCTCTTTCACAACCGCGGAACCACCGGTGAAAATTTACCGCCCAACAGGTGCGTGCCGCGAGAAAAACATGTTTTTGCTGGCACCTCACTTGTGCAAACAACATGGCGCTGAGCTGGCTAAATTTGTTTCCGAAGACAAATAAAAAGTTTCCAGCGGCTCAATGTGTCAAGGTGACACAGTTGGGTAGCGGTTCAAAGGTCTACATTTTTTGCGCGCGTCAACCCGTGGTAAAGGTCGGTAGGTATACAAAATATGAAGGTGAGCGATGGGGGGTGATTCGCTGCTAAGGTTATGGGTGTTTCGGTGTAGCCTTTACCAGGCACCGCGGATCGCTGGAAAAATAGTAGAAATTGGCCGAAATAAAGGGACAGTATACCAGGGGAGTTAGCCGGCCAGAGAGGATCCAATGTGCGACCCACGGACATTTTGGATCTTCTCTGGCCGGCTAACTCCCCTAGTATAATATCCCTTTATTTCGGCCAGTGCAGTGCCTGGCAGAGGCTAGTTTCGGTGACAGTGCTCTCCTAGCATCAAGAGTTAAGGTAAATACCTGAAGGGACCATTTCCTCCCCAACTGAACCAAGCCAACTAGCACCAAGAGACCACGTCTATCTAGATATTATTAAACGCAAAACAAGGACATATAGTATGACACGGCAAAAATGTTTCATCTTGTTTATTCAAAAGGGACAACTAGTTAGATAAACTTAACATTGAAAATAAAGTAGGTCAGGCTTGCACTGAAAATTGACCTATAGGGCACTTGTGACCTTTTCCGTAATTATCTATTTTCGAGACAAATATAGCTTTTATCTTCATTCCAATGATCGATATCGGTGTATTCTTGTTCCACATCTACAAAACGGAGATAGCAAAATCGTTGTTCAATAATCTTATTGGATTTTGTTAACGTCAAGCTTAACGTAAGTTTTAATTTGTAACATTGTTGTCTTTTTTGATAAGACTAGAGAAGAACTTTATTGCACGACAACTGCACATGGTGCAATGCATGGCAACGACTGTTGAATATAGTACAAATCATAAAAAAAAGGAAAAGGATATGGAATGAACATCCTAATTACTAAACATCAAGAGCTAATACAGTATACAATCAAGTAGGGCTAATAATTACTTTCGGAGTTTTTTTCTAAATAACAAAACAGTCTTTCATGTCTATTTTGCATCGTAAGAGTTGTTGCATTTCAATATATATAAATCTGTCCGTAGCAGCGAGTCTGTTAAAATCTATTGTGCTAGATTGATATGTTCTTCGTGATTTGGAGCATTTTTTCATAGGCATATCAACTTATTAAAAAAAATACTTTTTTTGCCGTTGACTTCGCAAACCTTGTCACCTGGCTGTCATTACAGATAAATTATATAGATAAATTATGCTCATTTGATCAGCATGTTTGTATGATGATGCGGTACTGAGTGCGCCAGCACGCCCCCTCCCCCGCCGTCACATTACGCACCACGTTTTCGTCAGTAGCGCCGACAGGCATGCGTTGGATAGCGTGTGTGGAAATAACGTGTATAGTACGAGCTTCAGAAACCGCACCGTGTAAAACGCGCTCAGTGATTGGCCATTAGAACTACGTGGCGCCTGGCACGGAGACAATAACGCAAGTAACAGACCATAAACTATATACATTTATATCGTTGATCATCGTTGTCTGTAACCTAATCAACTGTAACGATCGTTAAGGTCAACAACGTTACCCGGACTAGATATTATTTGCGCGCTATACAATGTTATTTTTTCTTCCTCTCTGGTTTAATAGATGCAAGAACATGTATATTGGTCAAACTCTTTTATTTCTGAGACCGAATCTTGGCAATAGTGGCGATAGCGTGCAAACGGTCCGCGCCCTACGTGACTTCACGCACCCACCCTTCCGCTGAGCAATGGTCGAACCCTCCCGCCGGCGCGGACACACCCCTGATCGCCTTGGCAACACGTTGTGCATCACGTGTGGAGTGCCAGGACCTTACGGGCAGGAATGATCGTACCGCCGCCCAACAGCGTCGGGGCTAATGATCATCCACGCGGGCATCATTTGCATCTCATTTGTACATATCATATATTATTAGCCATTTAAACATTTGCATAAGCGATTTCATTGCTTCTTATGTGTCCAGCGTGGCACAAAGCGTGATAATCTACCCAGGCGGTGCGGTGTATTCCGGCGGTTGTGCCTGTTGTTTTTCAGTCTGGAGTCCCAGTGTTATTTTGGGCGCGTGACGGACGCTGGAATGCACACGTGAGGTCGCGTGATTTCACCATCGCAGTTCAGGCTGGGCACAGACCAGTCCAGTCCACACACAACCGACCAGTTCACCCGTCAGGGATACACACGTATGACGAGCTAGAGCTGAGCAAAGCAGCAGACATACATGAGTGTAGAAGTTTCCACCGGTGCTGGCGTTGCCGACCCGGCTCTCGCGCTTCGTCTGAACATGCAAAGAGACAACGAGGCCTACCCGCTACCTCCTCACAAGCGAGTCAAGACGGAAAACATGTCTTACGACCTCCACGACAGGTAAGAACCTTGATACCTATCAATATATTCCTCCTACGGACCATCTATATGTATTATAAATTGTCTGCAATTTGTATTCCCGGAAAGGTTGTTGTTGATGCGTATTTAGTCTAAGGTTGATTGTGTAGTCGTGGGCCTGTGGTAGAAGACCGTCGGTGGCGTAAACAACTTTGTTAGGGTATATCGGTCAAGTAGGACAGCTAAGCCGGGGTCAGACAAACAAGGCACGGCCGCGGCCGGCTCGGCTGGCCATGACGGCTGGACGCACGGCATGACTGATCGTATTTCGGGGCCCAATTTGCGTCATAATTATAACCGCGGGCATTCTTGCACACTTTCCAGTATCGAAGCTAGTATGAAGCGTGGTGGGGAAAAATAGTAAGAACTGGTGTAGATTTCACAGCAGGGCCACGCCACCGTGCCTGGGCTTTACGATGTAGCTGGCGAGACCGCTGGGTGTGTTAAAAAATGTCGTCATTTTGCCATAGTAGTATTACTAATAGTACGGTGGACAGAAACACACTTTCATGTGCTATTACTGTACTATATGTGAGCTATAGCTAACATAAACCAAATATATTCATAGATATTCCGTTTTCCTTTTTATTCGTAGCATATCTCCCGTGCACATGGCCTTCATGACCGACTCGAGAGGTTTCAGACGAAGAAACATGCAAGGCACCGAGGAACAACGGGTGAGTCTCCGGGGCAGGTGTTAACTTCGCCCGCCTGCGCCATTTGCTAACGTTCGGTGATTGGACACGATAAACTGATCCTTGTATCTGCGTGTTTTATGTTAACTTACGCATGTTAGATCGGTATCACGTAGAGCCGCCGCAGGTAGATTTCAACTCGTTGCCGCACACATGCCTTGCGTAGGAACTCGTGATGTACATCTGATAATGCTAATACTAATAGCGCCGCGTCATATGCGCACCGGTTGGCGGGAATAATCTATGAGATGATCATAATTAGGCACGTTTTTTGAGCGTGAACCGCCTTGTACCGTCGCTGCCGTCAGTCGATTTTACGGGGACAAGTCGTAAATAATTGTTACTGGTGAGGGAGGAAAATGGTGATTTATATCTGAATAGTTCTGTTACAAAATTTGCTGAATATTTGCTGAAAAGTAGCTGAGAACGGGCCATGGGGCGATGACAGGGGTGCCAAAATTAAAAATATATTGGCACTGAATATGGAATATTAGTAAGAACGAAGACATACTCCGATAACTATCACCACAGATCCTACAAGTGCTTGATTGGCCAGCTGCTTTGGCGATTTGATATTGCTTATTATAAGGTAGGAGGAAATGACATAATGATAAAATAACATAATGATGAAATTGAAATAATACGTCAGTTTCGGACGCGGAGTTCAACTTACACCTGAAAGGCAATACGGCATGCAGTAAAAAGGGATGGCATCACACAAGTAACCTTTTACGTACAACCAAGGTGTATAGGGAAAAGGTATAAGCTCGAGTTAGTGTGTAAACTGAAAAGCTTCTAGAAATTCTCAGTGGCAAAACGCCAGGTTTTTTTTTTGGGGGGGGGTCTAGGGTTGTTCCTCTGAACACACAGTGTCGCATCATCATGTATGTGCATAGCACAGAAGAAATAGTCGTATGCAGAAGTCAGTTGTGAAGAGAAATACGGATCGGCATAACAAAAATAGGATCTTCTCTACTTTCTATTAGTTATAAATCGATTGCCTTTGCTGATTTGCTGGTATCACGAAGTTGACCAGGGCAAGGACATAAATGACAAGTTAGATGTTGATTTTCGCAAAGGTCGCACTTTAATCTCTGTAGAAGATCTTGTAACAAATCTTGGACCCGTTGCGGTTTGCTGACTCGCTATGTCGCGTGACTCGCATATACTTGACCACCCGGCGCTGGGCTGCCAAGGCCACCTGGCCGCGGAACATTACTACTAACATATGCGAAGGTCATTTACTACACGCTCGAATTATTTCCGCACACTTCCGCGGCTGGGTTGAAGACGATAAACATTTTTAAAACTGACCCCAAGTCACCTTGTTTTTTTCACGACGTGCATGGTTATTTGATCCCACTGAATGCCAATGGTAAACAATGGCCCCGCGTGCTGAACTCCAAAACAACAAGATGGCGCAGTGCACATGACTCGATCGCCGCGCTTCCCCACACCCTCACAAGTGTGTCCTCGGGCAGGCGGCATAGCTGGGCGACGCTGACTCAGGGCGTCTATCGTAGTTGGGTCGGGTTCTCTTCGGGCCTGCGGAAGCTCTTCGCCGCCCGGATCAAATAGCCTCCTCGGTAGTTTTTGCAGGTCGGGCAGGGCACTGCAAGACTCCCACAAGCGCAAAACTCCCATTTGAGAAGTCGAGGGAAAGCTAATACCGCTCCGAAGACTGCCCGACCCAACTATGATAGACTGGACACCAGGCTAGCCCAGAGTACACTTGTTCGTGTTTTATGACTTAAATGTACAAAGACTATACTCTCCAAGCAGAGGTTTGGGTTATTTTTATTTTTGGTGTTTTTAGGCTTTTTTATCGATTTTTTTTCCACCGGATTTTTTTTCACCCAACCCAACCCAACCTTCACCTGAATTTTTTTTCACCCAACCCAACCCAACCCAACACCTGAACTTTTTCACCCAACCCAACCCAACACCTGAATTGTTTTTCACCCAACCCAACGTGTAAAAAATCGGGTGAAAAAAATTTTAAGCCTAAAAGCACGCCAAAAATAACAAAAACCCAAACCCCTGCTTGGAGAGTACAAAGATTACACCATTACACTACTAGTATTCACTATAGCAGATTCGTTTCACTGACTTGGTACTTGGTATTTTCTAATTTCTACTATGCCATGCTTGATGGCTATTGACATCGCTTTGTCAACATGGTAGCAACCAGAACACGGCAGTATGCAACAATCACTAAAGCTATAAAGGCGCTATTACATACTGGAACCCGCCTGCTATGTGAGGCTAACCATATTTTGGTGCTATCAAAACGAAGACATAATACAGATTTCCAGTCTGTCTAGTATATTTTCCTTTGGTATCAACAACATCGCCGGGGGCAGTAGATATGTGCAAGGACTAGAATGCCCTTGATATGTGTAAGATTATGCTTTCAGCCTTCGTGATCAGGAAAATGTGGAGTTTTCTGATGAACTGTTTGTCGGTTGTGATACAGGACCTACATAGAATCGTGGAGAAGAGAAGACGAGATCGTATCAACGACTGCCTGGCCAACATCCGGGAACTTCTGCCAGAGGAACTTGTCAGACAAAAGGTGAGTCATTTTCTCTTGTTTGTTTGTTTGTTTGTTTGTTTGTTTGTTTGTTTTTTTAGGAACAAGGTAGATATGTTTCGAAAACTTTGACCACATGACAAGCGATAAAAGTGTGTATCTGTAGTGTGATTCCAATTTTACCCTCTTGTAAACAAATGACTACAGTTGAAAGCATCACGAGATGCCAGGCACATGGTAACGCCCCCATTTCTGCTTTCCTTTTCGTCTGACGTTTCATATTGCGTTACATCATTTCTGCCTAGCTGCTATATCGTTTGAAGATAGGAACAAAGGGTTGTGTGTGTAGAATTTGTTTTATGTAGGAGGAGGGTCGTGTGACTGTTATATATTAGGCACCTGTCAGCTGGCTATCACGTGTAGTATTTCGTCACAGATGTAATGTTATGCCCACGTAATGTGTCTCCCGTGCAGCCGCTGATATATGTTTGCGAACGCGAAGCAAACAAAAAGAAAAAAGAAAAAAAAAGATTTGTATTGCTTTCTTTTAAACCACATTTGGTGGACGGGCGTTGTAGGTTGTTGCAAAACCTCTACAAGCCGTCCTACGGGGGTACGGATTCGCGGTAAAAAAAAATTGGGGGGAATGATCAGGATCTCTAGAGTCGGTCCACGTCAATTTACGGTTACTGAACTCCCCTGGTCAAATTTTCTCCCTATTTGGCTAAAAGTTACTGTTTTTGAAGCCGAGTTGTTAGCCTGTCTGGGATTGACTAGCAAAACCCTCACATGACATGTAGCTGAGGCGACATGCGGTCAGTGCACTATGCACACGCAGCGAACACGTCATCAGGCAGTTTTCTATTCTCAACTCGTAAAACCGGGATGCTTGATCTAGATGTCAATGTGGAGGAAACGTGGAGGTTTAGGGTCGATCCCGTGTCGATGTTTACGACTACCGTAAATACGGCATCATTCCATGCCAGCACACCGTGGTCCCGGTCCCCTTATCGATCTGTTTACTGCTCGCTGATTGGTTCAACTGGACCTTATCTCGACAACGCCCACTACATACCTCCTCTTGCACCCCTGGACCATACCATTGAGGACAGATGCTGGGGTGGACTTAGTCCTTTTATCTGTTCATAAAGGCGTCTTCAGAAAAAAGTTCTGTGCCTGTTTGTTGTTGAAAGTTGTTTTCAACGTGGTGTACCTAGATCATGTAGCAAGTTGGCCCACAATGCCGGACTTCCGTGAGCTAGTTGCTATGCACAGTATGTTCCCAACAGTGCCTCTACCGGAATGCCCGTCACATGATAGTAGTGCTACATGTAACACACATCGCCTGGATGACGCAAGTTGAGCTGTTTGACATTCCATTTGGCGGAGGGAGATGTATTTTTGTGACCGCATCGGTCTGGAGCTACATGTACACGTAATGAGTCTGCCTCGTGCGCCATAGTTGTTAAGTCAGCCGCGTTCTTTGCACTTAGAACCAATTACGAAGACTCACTACTAGAAATGTCATACAGGTCCCATTTCTGTGCCATGTTGGCATCTTTTCCTGTTAGGTCTGGTCACACTGTTTTTCTGGCTTGATCCGGTTTTTGCTTCGTGTCGTTTCTGGGCCACGCCCCATTCTGCCTCTCTCACCTTCCGTGACCTTGTCGTGACCCACTTTAACCCCCCTCCCCCCCGTCACGCCACACGTTGTTTGCGAACGTAGCTAACATTTGGCTAACATTTGGCTAATGGTTGCTCCTCGGTCAAGAGCTGTCGCCCGATTGTAGCAACATACGCATTTTGTCAATTCAGCAGATTTCAGTTCGATATCCAATACTCCTTTATTTTTCTGTCAACAACTTCAAAATTAATTGAAAAAACGATGATGATGAGTTGGAAAACGCTCACAAACTTGTGTTTGGGGAGGGGTTTTATTTTGCATAGCTTTGCATAGCGGGTTCAAGACACAGGTATCTTGCAAGTTGCATCAGCGGAATTTTAGAGCTTCTTGCAGATGTTGAATATTAAGATCATAAGCGCAAGCCCCTTCCAAGGCGGTAAACGATTTACACTCAACTCCCGACATCTGCTTGAAGTTTAACCTAACCCAACCCTCCCAAGGACACACCATTAAAGATGTATAGTTTGCCATTTCATACACGTACCCCCGGAATAATGAGATCACGCCGCCATCACGGATTGCGTGATTCTCCCTTCCGCTGGGATATGGAATATCCGCCTGCGAAGTGCATATCGTGGACGGGGTTATGCATAATTTGAACGTGAAATCGAATCTGGAAAGTATTTTGAGTAACTGTTTTTGAGAGTATATCCGTGGTTGTGAATGTAGCACGGGGTCAACCAGGGTACCCACTGTTGTTGTGAAACCGCACTCCGTCTGACACTAGAGTTCTCATGAAACACGACGTGTGGAAATACTTGAAGAGACGAGAGGTTGTCAATGTAATAACCTGAATGGTTGTTTGAGTTTAGAAATGACATCTGTGTGAAGAAAAAGTAGTGCCGGAAAAAATTGCCTGCAATGATTCTTTAAAAAAACACATGCAAAAGTCAAGTTTAAAAACAACTGTAAAAGTCTGGTCTGTCACCACTAATACATACATACGTTCATGTTACATACTAGGTGCCACAGTGACTATTACGTTTGCAGACGAGGGTGTGTTATAGGAAATGCCACCCAAACCGCGCTGCACCAGTCATAACATAGCGGCCGTCTCGTCTGTGGTGCTGACGCAGGCACTGACGTCATGAAAACCCTCAGTAGGAGCCCAGTCATCCTTATCAGGCAATAACAAGGCTTATATAGACAGAAGTGCGGTTCAACTCTGATGTGAGAGTACTGCAATGCCACAGATGTTATTAGGCCACAGCAAGTATTTTTTATTGATGACATCAGCGCGCACATTGATTTTCGCCTGATTTCGAAAAAAAAATTTGCTCTCTCCGATCGCATCAACATGCCAAAAGGCAAAAGTGTCGACATTGTCGTAAACGTTGACATCCATCGACAAGGATCTGGTTAATTGAAAAAAAAAGTTTTGTCTTGTATTTTTACTTTGACACCAGAATACAGTTAGTATTTTATTTCTTTTATATGCGATGCTGCCTATGAATGAAACCACCTGTACAGTGACTGAAAACTTGTTTTTTTCTTTCTTTTCAAAGTTGGTTCAGAGACGAATGGATGTTGTAATAGTTGGTACAATATAGGTATAGTAGAGCTCCCGGATAGTTAAGTTTAATTTATCTGGTAGGCAGTCTATAAACTCATGGACCACCAGGGATCCAGCAAACGTGAGGCACAATTGCTCACAAGTGTTGAAGCCCTTTTCTACAACCATTCTAATTAATTGAGACATATACGCATCTACAAGGACAGGTAATACTGCTGAATACAGAAATAAAAGACCTTTTTGTTGTGATGATGCCATGTTTTGTCGCCTCAATTCGACATCCATAAAATTTACTTGCTGTGGCCTTATAAAAGCAAACATCGCTTGGCCATTGGAGAGGATGAAAAGCAAACGTAGTTTGATAATGAGAACCTTTGAGAAGGTGCACTAGACTTGTATGACGTTTATTGCTGACGAAAGGTTTACGCCTCCTTGTCACAATAAAAAGGGTACAAAAATGTACAACCTCCTTCATATTGCATGTCTATCAAATCATTGACATAATTTGGTGTCTTATTATGCCGAGGGCCGGTTATACCAGCTGTACAGATAAAGATACATAATATATCTACATACAATATATTATATCATCTTAGACACAATAAATCTTTGACCGTACCCACTTTGTTGAAATGTTTCTGACAAGGATCGAGTATTATATACTGAGGACTTGTTTTTTTTTACTTACAATTCGACTTAGACAATACAAAACATGGTGGTGCGGCAAAATATTCTCTCCCAGCAGAAATACTCCCCTGGCAAGTCATCTCTCTATTTAGTCGATTTCTACTCTTTCCAGCCGCCTCCCGAAGCCAGGTAGAGGCTACAAGCATACAAGAATACAACAACAAAGTACATGACAAGAAACAACAGGGAACAGCAAATGGGTGGAAATGGGTCAATAAATAGTAAGGAAGACGTGAGTGTTTTGTAGGCTATGTATGAGTTAATCTAATACAAACCGTTTAGTATCAATAACATAAGTTTGGGTAGTTGTCAAAATGTTATTGTTAAACAGTTTGTATCTCGGTGGGACTTGCTTTGCCATATGGGTTGAGGAAACCGTAGTTGCTATAAGAACAGACTATTCAAACCTATTTACAATTGTTTGTGACTAGGTGGATAGTATCTACCAAATGCTCATATTGCACCAAACCCCTCTGTTAGAGGATAAGGTGAGTCACTGGTAAATTACATAGAGACTGCGGGGAGCCTGTACTAGTATTGTCTGTGTTGTATCCGCAGGTGGGGCTATAAGTAGGGTGTGTGTGCGACTATAGACATTCCACAGGTGGGCGAAAGCATACAAAAATGTGTCTTGCTTGACACAAAAAAGTGTATTGCATAACGTTAAAATGCTTTTCAAAGTTAAAATGTTCTTTTTTGAGGGGGAGGGGAAAGATTACGTACAGATGCAGAGTCGAAAATTGAACTAGCTGCAAATTGTAAACGAATTTAAGGCCATGTTGGGTAGACACAGAGTATTTCAAGTCTTTACCTCACCTCACCTTCAATTAAAGATAATGACAAGGTCAACACCCGAAAGAGCACGTTCCCGGAACTGCATACATGCAGGTGTTTGTGGATTTCCAGGGATAACAAGTATGTATTGAACCTCCTTGCACAAAGGTATGATCATGCCCTCCAAGGCATGGGAGCGCGCACTGGTAAAACTTGTTTGGGCTAATTGGTTTCCATTAGAGCGTCTAGTCTGAGACCCTTCTAATAAATCAAATAATCTCTACTATGTTTTTGTTTTTCAACAAACAAACATTTTCTCCCTTTACCTTGAAAATTCATCCGTGTTGGTAGACGTCATGATGCAGGAAATTTAAACTGTAATTT